ATATTTATATATATATATATGAAGACTAAAAACGTTTTATTTTGTATGTTATTGCAACTTTTTGATTTTTTAAATTTTGTTCAGTTTGTTTACTAACACTTGACAAAACAACAAAATCCACACGTCTTCCATTTGAGTTTTGCATGTTATGTTATGTTATTTATACTTTGTTTCCGTGCTTTGTCACTGTATATACCGTCTCTCCTTTGATACTCGCAGGTGTTGATTGCGTAGGATTTTTACTCTGTTCCGTTTTTCTTATTTATTTTCATCTTGGTTAAAGTTTTCACTGTAAGATAGATATTATTTGAAATTCCCTAAAAATATAATAAGATGACACTTTAAAAAACCTTTCCAGAATGTAAAAACTTTATATTCAAGAAACTTGTGAAATTGTGAGTCAAATGCTTACTTTCATCAGATGTTAACAATTGTCGATATTTGCGAGATGTTGAACCGACGTAATATTGTTTTAATACAAATATCAATTAGGTGAATACTGTATTTAGCCTTGTGAAACGTTAGTCAATAGCGAGAATATTTCTTATTGGAAGCTGTCCCCGTACGAAATTTAATTTCGAATATTGTTTAAAATGACAAAACGCTTTATTGTACACTGTATTCTTTATAGAAAATGTATCGGGTTGCTGTTTCGTGCGAATGTAACATTGAGATTAATAAAGTGCGTGGACTTTTCAACCTATAAGGACACTGTAACTTGTACATTATAATTTTGTTAAACAATCATTGCATGATTATGGCTGTTAATTAATTAATTACCCCTTTTAGTTTCTAGCCCAAGATAACTTGGCAGGTTACATCGCGTTACATAAAATTCGGGCGTTTGGGCCCTCCGAAATTTTTTAAAAGTGTTTTTTGTCTCCAAATTTTTTCAAAAATTATTTCCACACAAAAAAATTTTATCGCGATTTTAATCTACCTTTAATGATGCACGATTAACACTTAATTGTTTTTTAATGGGATTTTTTTAATCAAATTTATTCATCGTTCTAAAGTTCTAGTGCACAGATTTTACTTCGGTAAAGTTATTTAAAGCTAGTTTCTGATGTCAAAAACGACCTCCGATAGTTTTTTAATTTTTTAAATTAATATATTTTATTATATATACGTTTAATTAAGTCGGGGGGTCGGAAATCGCAATAAAAAACGTAATTTTTTAAAAATATATGGCCAGCTAGTATTCACCCTACTTTAAACCCTTTGCCTCCTGAGACTTCTATGAGAATGTTCCAGGAAATCGAACACCAGCTGTTCTCAAGGTCATCTAGCTGTAAACACAATGACTCATCAGCATCAGATTTCACAGAAAGGGGAGACAATGGAAAATAAAATTTGAAGCTTTTTCTTCAAAATTAACGCATTTCTTTCATTTTTTTCAGTTTTAAGTATTTTTTATGTTTAATTACATCAATATCAAAAATTGCTGGGAACTAAAAGGATTAATCTTGCAAATTTTGAAATAAGAAGAGAGCCAAATTACATAAAGGTTTTAATGATTGACATTGCATAATAACACACAAACAACATTGTTTTTTGAGAGAAACATTTTCAGAATTTGTTCTTAATTAAAAAATTTTCCATTTTGTAGTTAAGATAACTATTTTTTATGAATCTTGACAGTTGTATACTTTGTATACATTCTTTTACTATTATTTTAATGAATATACTCCATAATGACTGTTTGTTTGTTTTTCACTATTTCTTTTATTCATTTAATTTATAACACTACTATTTGCTGATAAAAGAATCCTTATTTTAATTTATTAAAAAACATTAATATATTAAATGTGGCTGATCATGGTTTGACCCGCAACTGTCAACCAGTGGGTGAGTGATACATTAAATTTGTACCATCTATGATAGATTGAACCAAATGGGTGCAAACCCCCATCTCCCCAACAATTGGCTGATAGCCAACCACGTGGCCATCTAACAACTCTGTGAATAATACAGCTAAAGCCTAAATTAAAAGAATTTTATTATAGGATTTAACAAATGAGTTAAAAAATTAGAGTATATGCAAGGAATGATTTTTCTTGTTCTATAAAATTGTAAATTTAAACATATTTATATCCAATTCTTTAATTCTTTCTTCCTACTGCAATGGAAACAAGGCTGCAGAATGTAAATTTGATTTGGATAATAATAATTTTATAAATTAAAATTTCTAAATGCATTTTATTGCATGACACAGAATGCACAATTGAAAAGCGTGCTCCCTTTTGTTGATCTCCAGCTAATGTATTTGGTGTTTTATTGAAACAAGTCCTGCAATTCTCATTTTTAATTTCCTTTTTTATATCTACAGTAAAGTCCTGGAAGCTTGACATTCAATAAAACTCATCATATCGTAAAAAAAAATTAATTTGTACCTTTATAACTTAGCACTGGGATCAAATAAGTTATCATTCTTCACTAACAACACAATAATAGCATCAATTACACTTATTAATGAAAAATATAACCATTTTTCCAAGTACTGCCGGAGAATGCCACAATGCAAATATCACTAACTCAAAAGTAGCCACCAAATAACCAATTTTTTAAAAATTTAATTGCAAATAGTAACTATTGGTACTTAGTTAATATGTATATGAATTTGCACAAATACAGTAGAGCCTCGATTATCCGACCGTCCTAGTCGGCAAATTTCAAATGTCCACTAGTGATGTGGCGCTACAATGTTTGGCTATGTCTTGGCTACTTTATTATTATTTTTACATGTTTTAGCTGGCAACACTCATTCGACCATGAAAGGGAGCCAGTATTTAAACAAGGCTTAATTTTCTAATTTTTAACGATACAATAGCGACGATTATTATTTTAAAAAATTTTCGTTAGGCTTAACATCGATGAAAATTCAATGCAAAGTAGATTAATAGCGATATACTAAGATACTAATTACATGGGATTTAATAATATACTACACTAATAATGGATTTTTTCATACTTTTCCGTTATCCAACTTTTCAATTATCCGACCAACACCAGTCCCCAATTGGGTCGGATAATCGAGGCTCTACTGTAATGCCTTTATGAAAATTCCACCATTTAGACTAGCATCGTAGCTATGCCATAAAACTCGTCACCTCTCGGTCCATACCGAGTTTGCAGGACTACTGTATTTGATATTAGCAACATTAGAACAAGATTATAGTTTAATAACTTGTACTGGTGTGCATGACACAAAAAATTGCTAGAATTGCAGTGTAAGGCTAAGACTCCACTACCGTAAAAACGGCGTAAAAACCCCTCGCCATAAAAGCTTTTAATCACGTGACCCTGATATCTTACACTTGAGCAGGCCGTAAAACTAGCGTAAAAGCGAGTTGAGCGAATACGGCCGTAAAGAGGTACCTTCTACCAATCAGAAATCAGTGAAATCTAGGTCATCGTGACACGGAGCTAAAATGGCGGAAAACGAGCATTTGTGTACGTTCCCTCGTGGCTACTCTAGAATAGATCCGGAAAGATTTATCGAAAACATCTGAAAGTATTCGTGTATCTACGACAAGAGGTAACCTGATTATAATAATGGATACCAAAGGAAAGGGATACTCCTTCAATTTAGAGGAGTATATAATAAAAAAGCTAAGCTTATAAGTTCTGTATATTATCTTAATAATACGATAATAAAAGTTAATATATGAAAGTAAAGATATTATTTTTACTACATTTGTAATTATAGTACAGAAAAAGCTCGTAGAATATAATCATTGTCTTTATATCGCTATGTCACGTATACAACCGTCTTTCGTTTCTACCAATTCACGTGCGAAGAAGTATTTACTTTCGACACTTGGGGCAGCACCGTTGCCGTAAAAACTTTGCGCTAGCCAGACCTCCATCATAATCCGAGCGCAAACGCAAATAGGTCAATGTGATTAAAAGCTTTTATGGCGAGGGGTTTTTACGCCTTTTTACGGTAGTGGAGTCCTAGCCTAAGTGGTTGTTAGGGATTGACCCAGTGGCCCTCCTGCTTATCTCACACTGATGTCAGGAGTGGGGTGAAGCCTCCTACCAGGTGTTCAATAGGATTGTCCATGAAAGACAGGTTGTCTTCCAAAACAGGGTTTGCGATAGCCAGGTTCCTTACTATGTTTAATCGATTCTCATATTTTAGTGTAAGCATAGGAGGAGGAAACCTAAAGCAGTTTTGGGTAGCGTAGGAAGTTTCATCCCACTATTATCAGCGTTCTCATGCAAAGCACAGGGAATCCATTTGACCAAGTTTTTCGAGTCTCTGGGAGACATTTCCAAATTAGCAGCCTGGACAAAGGCACAAATATTGGCAGTGGCAAAGCTAAGACTTACCAGAATTGCCCAAGAATTTGTGCGCAAAGACTGGAAAATAAAAGACATCAAAGAATATGACGCCTTTAAGAAAATAATGCTGGAGAGATTTCAACAAGTGCCTTTTTTGATCCGGTTAAAAAGGTTTTATTCATGTCTGCAACAAACAGATGAGGATGTGCAGATGTATGCTGTCCGACTTCAGACATTGGCCATGGAAATTGAGATTATACCAGAGCCAGGTGCAGATGCAGCAGAAACCACCATTATTCAGAGAATTCAAAGTAAATAGTTAGACGAGTGGCTGAAAGCTGTTTGTGAATGGGATTGATCTTAAAATTAGACAGCGGGTCATGTCATGAGAGCCAGCGATGTTCAATGCCGCTTTAAATGCTGTGATTAGTGAAGAAATAATAGAATCCCTCACTGCACAACCTCATGGAAGCATACGAATGATCAAAGAGGATACGAGGTCACTAATAAGACGACAATTTCCTTAACTTTTATTTGTAATTTGTAGCAACTTTTCTATTTACAAATAAGCGTAATTTAGCTTTAGTTCAACAGTTGTAATGATGGTGTCGTTTTCTCTGATGATTAATTCTTTCTTCCAAGTTTACACTTTTCTTTCTTTGGCTTCTTGTATTTGAGAACCTTTCAATAATTAATCCCATTTTTTGAGAAACCTTAATTTTTATATGCTACAATTAACAACACATAACAGCTGTTTTCATTTTATCCATGTTTGTGTTGAAACTGTAAGATTTGCCATTTCTGCACTATACCATGGCATACTGGAAGAAATATCTGGCATAGAACACATTATACAGTAAAAAATAAATCATAATCATGAGTTCAAATTACCTTAAGTTTGGATTATTATTATTATAAGTCCAGTTCAGTATATTATTGTCCTTTATTATAAATTAAAACATTTGAGAAAAGTATATTCACTTAATCTCTTTAATAGTAGTACTAAATCTAAATCTTTAGTGTGAATAAATTACTTGAAAGATAATTATGCCTATTACAGTATATGGTTTACATCAGTGTTTCTCAGCCGTTTGAGCTTAATATTTCTGTGGGCTCACACACATTAGCTCAGGGAAAAATTAAAATTCACTTTAAAAATTCAACCATATTTTTTTTACATATTACAGTGTATTTCTTATGGACTATTGGGTGTATAAATACAACTGCTTTTTTTCAGTAAATATAAGACATTTATTTTTAAAACGAAAGAAAGATTTATTCAAAGTATTTTCCATCAGATGGGTGAATGTTGAAGTTTCTATCAGGCAACAAATGGATTCCATGAAGGAAGAAGTCTGGTTGTTTTGAAGCAATCCAGTTATCAACCCAATTTTGGATATCCTCACAAGATCTGAACCACTTTCCTGAAAGGTTGCTCTGCATGGATCAAAACAAATGGTAATCTGAAGGAGCGATATCTGGAGAATATGGCAGGTGGGGCAATACATCCCAGCAAAGTGCTTCTAGAGTTTCCTTGACTGATCCTGCAACATATGGGCAAGCATTGTTATGTTGGAAAATAACCTTGTGGCTTTTGGCATATTCTGGACATTTTTGCTTTAATGCTTCATTCAATTTGATTAATTGTTGTTTGTAACATTCAGCATTAATTGTCTGACTTGGTTGCAACATAGTATATTACAGTTCATAGTATACTACACCCTTTTGGCATTGATTGACCTGGTTCACCTGGATACATCCATGCCTTTGGTTTTTTAGGATTGTCAAAGTAAATCCACTTTTCATCTTCAGTAACAATTCAGTACAAAAACCCTACCCTTTTTTGTCTTTGGAACAATAATTCATGTGTGGTTTCTCAATGTTCAATGTCTCAATTCATATGGGACCCAATTTTCTCACTTTTGAACCATTCTCATTGCATGTAATGTTGGGAAATGCATGGTTGGGTAACATTTAAAGCAGCAGCCAATTCTTATTGTTTGGCAAGGATCTTCATCCAGTAATGCTTCCAATTCTTCATCTTGAAATTTTTTTGGTGCTTTTCCATGCTCTTTGTCATGTGTATCAAAATCATTATTTTTAAACAGTTGAAACCACTTTTTCTTTCACGATCAATTTTCTTTGGCCATATACCTTTGAAATTTTGCCTCCAATCTATTATTTGCTATGGCAGAATACAACCCATGAGACAGTTTATCAGTGTGAGCAAAGGATGGGAACAATAACCTAAGATGCAATAGATAGTTATGCAATAATGCATTTTCTGACTGACTACAGGAAATCCTCATTAATTCAAGCATTGATAGTTCAAAATCCTGTCAGTTATTGATAGTAACTGTACTATTTGTCCTGGCCGGAGATAGAGATTTACACATTAAGGAATTTGATTAGTTTGAAATATGGCTACTTTGAAATTTGAAATGAAAATTCTGTCCGAACTGTCATATGCACGTTGACTCATTTTATAGTATGGAGGTATTTCAATCTAAACAGAGACAATTCTAATCTGGTCAGCATGGCTTGCTTTTACAGTAAAAATTTTTGGAGACACCTTATCATTCTTTTATCTCATAAAATGTGTGTGTGTTTTGGGATTGCAAGATTGGGCTACAAGCAAAGATTGATGTCCTAGGCTACTACATTGGGACGACTTACAATAATTTTGCTTTACTTTTTATACAATTTATCTGGCACCCTGTGAGGTTCTCACGGGACACATGCTATTTACCTGCAGTTAATAATAATTACTATAATAGTATTCTGTATACATAATCATAGCTGTATTCTGTTTGATTAATAAATTATGTCAGTTACATGGCATTTGATGTATTGTACAGAAATATGTAAATCTCGGACAATTTGAAATCTTGATTAGTTTAAAATTTGGGGTGTGAAGTAATGAGCATTTCTGGTAATACTAATAGAGAGATTATTGACAATATCTTAAAAATAGACTTTCACCTAAACATCAAATTTCCAGCAACACACTCAAATTCAACATTTAAACATTTTCAGCCACTCTTTAATCGGCCTTCATTAGGAAAATTCAAACGAAAATAAGTGTTCTGAAAATGTTGAATTTGAGTGTGTTGCTGGAAATTTGACGTTTAAGTGAGTCTATATATCATTCCAGTTTACTATTGTGGTTTTTATATTATGATACACACGTTCAAAACTTAAGGATGGACAACATTTGTACACAAATAGAACAGTACATGAATGCAAACAAATATGGCAAGAACCGATTACTCGACATCTAACAGAGGGTAGTACACAACAGTCTTTTATTGCTTTGATTTGTAAAATTCTAAAGTATGTCTTTGGTGAAAAAGATGCATACAGCAGTCGGATGGATGGAAAATGCTTACCAATACCCAGGCAGAGACCTTCCCTCAGTATGGAATATGTCCATCTTGAACTGCAGTGCAGCATTCATGTTGTGGCTGGCTCATCACCAAGACTTTTTCTAGCTCTCACCACTAACAATTGAGTTTAAGGTTTGGACATGTTGGTATTTTGCATCACACTGACTTTAAAATAAGTTTTAAATCAAATTATTTTATGATGATTATAATAAATAAAATGACCAATACTGCATCAATATGTTAGCCTGTTAATAAAATAAATTTATAAAAAATTTTTTGAGTGTCAATAGATATTGAAATTCATATTTGTCAACAATTCATGGAATTGAAAAATTTCCATCTTTTATCAAACCACCACAGACAATATTCTGCACAGTAATATACTCGAAAATAAGTTTTATTCTAAAAAAATATCAAAAAAACATGAGTTCTCTCCAGTCATTCAAAAAGTTATAACTGTTCTCAATCTGAAAGACATTAAAAAATTAGCTTCCAAAATATTAATTTTTAGAAAACTAAAAAAAAGGAAAACTTACGATTTTTTTGAATGCAAAAGAGAGACTGCTTCATTGATGTTATCCAGTTTGACTTCGTGAGTGACAAATTCGTCTACCGCCAACTTTCCATCCATGTACCGGTCAACTAATTTTGGCACACTGTCTCTACTCTTCCAACCTTATTTTTGATATATTTGAATAATTAGGGTTTTAATAGAATAATAACTGTATAATAATATAACAACAGAATAATAATAGAAGATATTAACCTCCAAAGGCAGATCCTTTCCAGATTCGTCCAGTGACTAGCTGAAAGGGACGAGTAGATATGGTTTCTCCTGCGCCAGCCACTCCAATGATGACGGATGTGCCCCATCCTTTGTGGCAGGATTCGAGAGCCTCTCTCTGAAAGGGAATTTTCAGTATTAACAATTGCCCACATGATATGTTATGAATATAAGTTTCCATAACATTTACCACATGGGAAAAAATATTAAAACACATACCATTGTGTTAACATTACCGATGCATTCGAATGTGTAATCCAAGCCTCCATCAGTCATTTCAATTAATGCATCTTTGGTTGGTTTTGTTAATTCTTTAGGATTAACAAATTCAGTACAGCCAAACTTTTTCCCTTGTTATATAAAATCTTATATCATTGATCCAAATTACACAAACAATTTTTCTTACACATTCTGATTTTGCTTACCTAAGGCAAGTTTACTCGGATCAATGTCAATTCCAATGATTCGCTTGGCTCCTCTCTCGCGACATCCCATGGCCACGGCCAGTCCGACGGTTCCGAGTCCCCATATTGCAACAGTGGAACCCTCCTCGACGTTGGCAGTGTTTAGAGCGGCACCATAACCGGTAGAAATGCCACATCCCAATAAGCATATCTTGTTTGGCAGAGCGGAAGGATTTACCTGACCAAGTTAGAATTGAAACTTAAATAATAGTTCTGAAAAGTTTCGGAGGAAAATTTCCTATAAATTTTACCTTGGCAACGGAAATTTCAGCCACAACGGTATATTCACTAAATGTACTGGTTCCCATGAAATGATAAACTGGCTTACCATTGCAGGAGAAACGTGATGTACCATCTGGCATAACCCCTCTGCCCTGAGTATCCCTATGAAATTATCATCCATATTTAAAAATTTTTCTAATTTCTGTTGATATCAAATCATTTCATTTAATCTTACAAAATAAAATGAATTAATTACACAAAAATTACAATTAAAAATTATTTCATTTGTATATAGCATTTCAAAATGAGTATAACATTAAAAAATCATTTATGCATTTAATTAAGTTTTAATTAAATCATTTTTGGAATCTTGAAAATTTGATATTTATATTATTGTCAAATTATTAGAAAAAATTTTACCTAATTTTACTGCACAGATTTGTTTTTGAACTTTTGCAAAATTTGCAATCATTACATTGAGGAATGTAAAGAGGAATGACGAGGTCACCTACAAAAATGCTAAGACATTAACATTTTTGAAATGTAACAGATTCTATTAAAAACCATACAGACCAGGCTTAACAGAATTAACGCCATCACCAACACTCTCCACAATTCCTGCTCCCTCGTGTCCTAAAATGCATGGAAACACTCCTTCTGGATCCAAACCGTCTAACGTGTAAGCATCCGTGTGACAAAATGCACTAGCCAGTATCTTCAAATATAAAAATTTTAATTAAAAATATATCACAATTAAAGACAACCTTCATAATTTAATTCTTACCTTGATTCTGACTTCTCCCTTCCTGGGTGGTGCAACTTCTACGGTTTCGATCACCAGATCTTTTTTTGGATCCCAAGCAACAGCTGCTTTACATTTTATTACCTACTTACCAAATTTTAAAAAATATCTTAAAAATTTATTCTCTAATTGCAAGTTTAAAATATTTTTTACAATACATTTGAAATTCACAGAAGCAAAATTAACTAATGTTATAATTTTGTTATAAACATTATTTCAAAGAATTCATATTAAAAAACTTTAAGAAACATTAATAATTAACAATTTATTCAATCTTGACAACAGAAAAGAAAAAGTAATCAAAGAATATAAAATACAAAAATGTAATTTAATTACTTTGTCTGCAATGACAATATCTTCAGGAAAATTTTTGAAGAGTATAAAAATTAAAATGAAATCAGATCAATTATTTTCTTTAATATTATTTCAAATTGTTATTTGAATCTTCAATAATGTATTAGAGAGCATGCAAAATTTTATTAAGTTTCTTTTTTGTTGATTAAAACAGCTTAAACCAAAAATAATTCTTGGATGTTCTGTGATGAATATGGAATTTTTGCTTTATCCCATAATGGTGTAAAATCATTTTCTGCTGCTAAGAGGCCAACTTATAAGTAATGAAATAAATCATCATCATCATATTTAAATCTTGGCTAATTATTTAAGCTGAGAGTGGGGAAAAAGCCAATACATTAGAACTCACTAAAAATTTATATAGCATATGAATATATGTAGCAATACATTTGCAAAAAATTATCAAGAGAAGCAAACTTCCAAAGTGACTTTTATTGTATTGAAAATTTGTGTTCTTCATTACAGTCTGATTTTTTACTTCATCCAATATTTTTTTGGGAGATATCCATAATAAGCTATCTGAAAAGTACATTAACTTCATAGTAACAAGAGAGGAGAGTGTTTTTGTAGCATTGAGAGCTTCTCTGTAGTCTCAATTTTCCATATGATATTGAAATGTACCACCATTTCTATTTTCCCATCACAGATGTACAACTGTCTGTCAAGCTGTGTATTTTTCCAAATGACTCTTAAGAATTTCTGGTCAAATGCAAATTCCCAGTAGTGATAAGAGTGTATCTGATTGGTCAAACCAGAGTTGGAGTGACCATTAATATCAAGAACTGCCTCAACTTCATTTATGTGCATTTTGATCCAAAATTTTATTTTTTCTTGTAGAAAGAAAAGTAGGAAATTTAAGAAATGATTACAAAGAATGGTAAAAATACTGATTACCATTCTAAGTGGGCAGATGACACTATCTTTTAGGTTGTTCTTACAAATTTTCTTTGTTGCTCTAGTATAGTCTAAGACTGAAGAGTTGCAGATTATTTTTTCAGAAAAATAATGTTTTACACATATATAGATTTATTTTCAAAAGCTATCGTGATATACTTTCTAGCTTTCTAACTAAATAACTGTTAACTGTGCCTATAATGAGGCTACCAGTTACGTATTCAAATCTTACAAAGCTTTGATATAATGATAAGTTATATCTTATTCCTCTTCAAAAAACAATAATTTAAACCTTATACAATATTGGAATAACAAAAAGCACTCTTAAGGACATACTAAAAAGGTACAAGCATGATATAACAAAAATGTTTCCACCAAACTAGCACTTTTAATAATTATATAACAAGAAAGATTTTGAGCCAATGTGGAGTGAGGCAAAAATTGTGCATTCATTGTAAAACATCCAATAATAACATAATAATTATTATTTTTATTTCAGGCCATTTAACAAACTATTTAACAGATTTCACCTTATGCATAAAGATCATCAGGAATTATTTAGTACAGGGATGGGCAACCCACAGTAATATTTTTTGCAGCCCGCATCACATAAAATATGAATAAATATATCAATTTCCCAGCTTAAGGAAGTATGCAGCAAAAATTCAAACTTTATTTTCTACAACTTATGTACGTGAATAGTTTTTCCCCAATGAATTTAGTAAAAATTAAAACAAGAAACTGGCTAACAGACACGTCGACACTAATTTAAAACTAGCAGTGACTAATACTTAACCAAATATTTTCAATATATTACGTTTACATCAGTTCCAGAAGCTAAATTAACTATACCTATGCTATATATGAATAAATAATTTTTTTTTTAATTTTTTGGAAAATGGCACATTTCAAATTTTTAAAAAACATTTGAATTAAAGAATCCAGTTATAAAGGAAGGTATAAAAATAAGCCTGAAGAAGATCCCAGGAGGGGAGTCGAAAACGTTCACCGATTTTTAAAGAATTTCACACCAGTTACTGGTTAATTGTAGATCGTTGTTTAGTTGAAGTATATACAACCCGGTGTGATGAGAAACTACATATAAATATTTATTTGATAATTTTTACTTTCCTGTCTGTTATATATAACAGAAGGAAAGTGTAGTGATTGGTCAAAAAATGACCCTCCCAAATTTTACATTTTTGGACTCAGTACACCTTGAAATGTTGAGATATGTAAAAGATTCCGTTTTTTCCTGTATGTATGGATGTTAGACTGTGTGGGAGGACGATTTTGTTTACCCTGTTTGAAGCCTAACAACTTCTGTGGTTTTTAAATCGGAGTCGGATGGCTTAACACAGGAGTTATTAAGCTTCAAAGTGGTTGAACTAAATTGTGCCCCCATACACATTCTAACATCTTAATGGGTTTTACTGTACTATCATAAAATGACAAAAAGCTTAATTTTGAGGGCAGAGATGGGTTTTATTTTAAAAAACATTGAGAATGCTAATAACGAGTAAAATATTCATTAAGTTTGACCACACTGGAGATATGACACATGGCTCCTTCTATGTCTCCACTCTATTGACCTTTAATTAAGAACCAAAATTTAATAGAATTAATGCATGCCCCTTTATACTTAAGCCACAGTGCCAAATTTTGTTTCTTAAATTTTGTAATATCTCAGAACAGAGAATAAAGAAGTTAAGCAAATTAGACACCAAAACACGTGCAATTTTTCCCCTTTAATTGACATACTTTTGGGGGTTTGGGGAGGTCTCAAAACATGTAGATTTGCAAAAAACTTGGAGGATCAAATTTGACACGTTTCCAATACTTTTCCATTTTATATACATAACAAGTTGGGAAGTAAAAAGGAGTCAGAGTAGGTGAATTTTTTGATGACTCGCATTCAGACTGACTATCTCGACATTTCAAGATGTACCGAGTCCAAAAATGTAAAATTTGGGGGGGTCATTTTTTGACCAATTGCTACACTTTCCCTCTGTTATATATAACAACCAGAAAAGTAAAAATTATCAAATAAATATTTATATATTGTCATTACTTAGAGGAGTCTTTTAGCTTTGGAATAAAAAAGTTTCTACGTTCTATCTTTATTAGAACTCTATTTATTGAATATTTTATTCTGAGGACACGTGATGACATCAGAATTTCCAGGTCTATTTTGGTAACAAATCTGCCCCCGGTCGGACTTAGACGGTAAAGAAAAGTCAAAGTCGGAGTCGGTAGATTTTTACACGACTCCACAGCCCAGATTATAATGGCAGAGTGATTGTTCTACACACGCAAAGGAATTAATTACATGGATCTGTTTATAACACTAATTTGATAACTAGAGATAAGAGATAATCTACATACATAATACTCCTAACCTAATTCTATTTTGAATACTTGTGCAAACGTATTATTTTTAAGCTTTTAATAAAGTATTTCCCTGTTCATTTTCTGATTAAATAATTTTTTCTAATTATTTAATCAGAATGAAGAAGGAAAATAAATTCATACAAAAATGATGATTATCTTATGTAAATGTGTAAAGTGTCAAGTTTTGAACACGATAATTCAGTTTTTATACTTGCATTATACTGTATTTCTTATTGATGGATTTTTTTTTTAAGAAAATGTCGGGCATACACGTGCTTGCCACTTTATTAGATTTATTCTTTCAGAGTTTTGTTCGAATGTAATTTTTGGGACAACTAATATCACTCATACTTTTGAATTTTACACAAGACAGCCGATAGTCCTATGTACTGTACGTGCCCTATAATATTACGTGCTTTAAGACTTGCATATAAAAAGCAAGAAGTGATTCGAATTTTTTTTACAAGTAGAGATGGCACTGTGTTTTAAACAGACTACCATAATTTCGACGCCACATTTAAAATACAAAGCGATATTCCTCACAAAATGCACTATCGTCATTATCTCTGGTCACAAAATAAAATTCACGTTTCCGTGCATTCCATAAGACCCTCGACAATCATTTTTAAAGCGTAGTAAGCAAATTTTTTGCATTAGCGCACGTTGTATACAGACGCATGCTCTCAAACATGGCTTCGAAGTGACGATATACGTCTAACCCTTAGCGCCATCTCTAGCTAAAAAAAAAAAGTAATAGATTCGAAAAATTATCTGCACGTCCTATGCGTGTAAGATGATTATATATGTAATCTATTACTTAGAGTTCAAAAATATAGTTTATATCAATCGTCCTTAAAACTATATCGACAGAAATTAATTAAAGAATTATCAAGGACAATGCAAAAACTTTTATTTCAAGTTCATTTTCAGTTAAATTGATAAACAATCAATACTAAAGTGTATTACAAAATAAATAAGATCAATTTAAAACTGAAATACCTTTCCTCGAGTTTGCGAATCGCCCATTTTATAATTCGGAAAATAGCTACAGCCGATTATTTCATCTAAATCTCGAAACTTTGTAATACCACCCAATCGGATGACACTATACAGCGACCTTTAGCCACTGAATCGTCTCGCGACCGTCACGTGTTTTTTTTTTAACTGGGGAAAATATGAATATCACTAGTAATGTATTAATTTTTATAATTGATGTTTTAATTATAAAGTACGGAAATTATTTTTATAATATTGCTATATATTTTGTTAAATTTATTTGTCTATTTTTATATTTTTTTCGTAAAATTTTCAAACGTATACGCTCGTTGAGAAAAAAAATTACACACCCAGACAGAATGGTCCTATTACTACAAAACTCCGCAATCAGCTATCTCGACAATTACAGTTGTGGTTCGATTGCACGCGCCAGATAATGTCACCAGAGTACATTGACTGCCAGATGGCCGAGCAGATAGGGTGGCAGTCTTTCACTCTGGGGAGTCAGAATCGGACCTAAACGGGTCGAAAAACTTCAGGAATTTTTCGGGATAATTTGTTCTAGATACGTTTAGCCCGCCTCTTATCATCCGGCTACCCCATTACAGGCCTTGCCGAACTCATAATGGACTTACTAAAAATGTTAGTATAACCATTTCACAGGATGAGAGGAAAAATAAAGACCGCCTTAAAATCGCTACCTCAGTATCTTATAAAAAGGCACACACTGTTGAGAAATTTCAGTATACTGTCTTGTTGTTGGGAGGTTTTCGAATGGCAAACACGCCAGGTGTGTTTGGAGGTTTTTGAATGCCTGTATGACGCAGTGAAAGATTACGGCCTTTCTCAAATTATGGCTGACGTAATTTGAAAAAGGCCGCATCAATGAACTGAGTACAGCAGGATAGCCGTTTCTCCAAATTGCCTTCCGTCTGGGCAGCGGCGCCCGCAGACTATAAAAAAAGGGTCACAAGCAATAAAACAGGGCATCGTACGTACATTATGCGAGGAGATACCTGTATATGTACCGTACATATACAATTTTCATGAAGTTAATTAATTAATCGAGAAGGCTCTCTCGGAACTGACAGAAAAACCAGAATTGTTTTCGGATTATCGGAATAAAGGTATCTATCATCGTTGACCCAAATTTGAAACGTGTTGGAATTTGGAGGCTCGATAGATCGTTCAATATACTACTACTACGAAACAAAGAATTAGAAGGCCTCCACCAATCGGTAGAGCCTTGGAAAAGGAAATATGAAGGGTTATAGCGGAAGTGAGAAGAAAAAGAAAAGCGAGACAAGAAAGGGTGAAAAGACGAGATCCATGAGCAGCCGTCGGGTTCTGTTTATTAAAACACAAATAATTTACAGAGTGCCAAAAAGGCAAATGTACAGAATAACTGCCCTAAGTACATTGAGCAGCAGTGGCATGCCGTGACATTTGATGATAGAGAAGCTATGTTTCTGTAATAAGCCGGCTTCCAGGGACAATCAGTTAATTGCGCGTCAGTGATGGTCTAGGGCAGGGGTGGCCAACAGTTTTTGCCACCGGGCCGAATTGGAAAGAAAACTTTTTTCACGGGCCGAACCAGAGGCTGCCCTAGGAAGATTTTGAGGTGGTGCGAGATCTCATTGTGGTGTCACCCGTAGAGACTAAATTGTACATAGAGATTACAGATACATTTTTCATATTACCATGCTTTATCGACATTCTACACTGTACTTACGAGATTTGTAATGGAGGGTTAACTCTAAACGCACAGTGAGTTGTTGATCCTTTTTTTTTAGTCGTCAGAAATGTTCATCGAGCTATTCAAACTTCAGTAGCTGATATAGAAAGATTAATCGCGGGCCGCATAAATTCATTAGACGGGCCGTATGTTGACCACGTCTGGTCTATGGTCCATTCGTATCGTTTGTTTGGTAAGCCAATAACCGTAGACTTCTCTAAATGTATTTTTAATATCACAATTACATTCCGAATCGCTAGCCACGATATAAGGGCTAAAATTATAAATAAAACAATAAAAACTTACTTGGTGAAATAAATGTGTGATGGATATACCTGGTACAAAATATTCTTCAATTATATTAATATACATTTAAAGAAAATTATAATTAAATATAGCTTTGTAAAGAAACGTATATAAAAATAACATAAAATCTTCTTTACTTTTTAAATCTTAAAACAATCCACTTAGTCAAATAGCTCCCTACGACTGACTAATGGATGGAATCAGAGACGGTCCTGAAAGGTGCATGCATTCGGGCTGCCAATTCCCGAGAGTGCCGATACTGGTCAATGTCAAATTCCTCTTTTGTCGCATCACTAGCATATCTCAAAGGACGCGACAGGGTTGTTGTAGATTTTAAACGTTTCTCACTATAGCCGTAAAAATCTAAATTTGTTAACTAACGTTTGTTTTCTAACTAATTTGCTTTAGGACCAGGTGTCCACGGAAATTTCCGTGGACACCTGGTCCTAAAGCAAATTAGTTAGAAAACAAACGTTAGTTAACAAATTTAGATTTTTACGGCTATAGTGAGAAACGTTTAAAATCTACAACAACCCTGTCGCGTCCTTTGAGATATGCTAGTGATGCGACAAAAGAGGAATTTGACATTGACCAGTATCGGCACTCTCGGGAATTGGCAGCCCGAATGCATGCACCTTTCAGGACCGTCTCTGATTCCATCCATTAGTCAGTCGTAGGGAGCTATTTGACTAAGTGGATTGTTTTAAGATTTAAAAAGTAAAGAAGATTTTATGTTATTTTTATATACGTTTCTTTACAAAGCTATATTTAATTATAATTTTCTTTAAATGTATATTAATATAATTGAAGAATATTTTGTACCAGGTATATCCATCACACATTTATTTCACCAAGTAAGTTTTTATTGTTTTATTTATAATTTTAGCCCTTATATCGTGGCTAGCGATTCGGAATGTAATTGTGATATTAAAAATACATTTAGAGAAGTCTACGGTTATTGGCTTACCAAACAAACGATACGAATGGACCATAGACCAGACGTGGTCAACATACGGCCCGTCTAATGAATTTATGCGGCCCGCGATTAATCTTTCTATATCAGCTACTGAAGTTTGAATAGCTCGATGAACATTTCTGACGACTAAAAAAAAAGGATCAACAACTCACTGTGCGTTTAGAGTTAACCCTCCATTACAAATCTCGTAAGTACAGTGTAGAATGTCGATAAAGCATGGTAATATGAAAAATGTATCTGTAATCTCTATGTACAATTTAGTCTCTACGGGTGACACCACAATGAGATCTCGCACCACCTCAAAATCTTCCTAGGGCAGCCTCTGGTTCGGCCCGTGAAAAAAGTTTTCTTTCCAATTCGGCCCGGTGGCAAAAACTGTTGGCCACCCCTGCCCTAGACCATCACTGACGCGCAATTAACTGATTGTCCCTGGAAGCCGGCTTATTACAGAAACATAGCTTCTCTATCATCAAATGTCACGGCATGCCACTGCTGCTCAATGTACTTAGGGCAGTTATTCTGTACATTTGCCTTTTTGGCACTCTGTAAATTATTTGTGTTTTAATAAACAGAACCCGACGGCTGCTCATGGATCTCGTCTTTTCACCCTTTCTTGTCTCGCTTTTCTTTTTCTTCTCACTTCCGCTATAACCCTTCATATTTCCTTTTCCAAGGCTCTACCGATTGGTGGAGGCCTTCTAATTCTTTGTTTCGTAGTAGTAGTATATTGAACGATCTATCGAGCCTCCAAATTCCAACACGTTTCAAATTTGGGTCAACGATGATAGATACCTTTATTCCGATAATCCGAAAACAATTCTGGTTTTTCTGTCAGTTCCGAGAGAGCCTTCTCGATTAATTAATTAACTTCATGAAAATTGTATATGTACGGTACATATACAGGTATCTCCTCGCATAATGTACGTACGATGCCCTGTTTTATTGCTTGTGACCCTTTTTTTATAGTCTGCGGGCGCCGCTGCCCAGACGGAAGGCAATTTGGAGAAACGGCTATCCTGCTGTACTCAGTTCATTGATGCGGCCTTTTTCAAATTACGTCAGCCATAATTTGAGAAAGGCCGTAATCTTTCACTGCGTCATACAGGCATTCAAAAACCTCCAAACACACCTGGCGTGTTTGCCATTCGAAAACCTCCCAACAACAAGACAGTATACTGAAATTTCTCAACAGTGTGTGCCTTTTTATAAGATACTGAGGTAGCGATTTTAAGGCGGTCTTTATTTTTCCTCTCATCCTGTGAAATGGTTATACTAACATTTTTAGTAAGTCCATTATGAGTTCGGCAAGGCCTGTAATGGGGTAGCCGGATGATAAGAGGCGGGCTAAACGTATCTAGAACANAATGTTCTTAATGAAATAAAGTTATTGTAAAATCAGAAAGAAATGTTTTGAAAAGATTTGAAGATAAAAAAAATGTCCTTGCGAAGTGCATACTCTTAGATTAGGGTAGACAAGAGTAGGCAGTGTGGGATCTAAGAGTAAGCTCTCTTTATAAACGATTCTTACATTCCTATGTTGTTCGTTGGTTTTTAGAATACTGTTATCTGATAAAAAAATAAAATAATTTTTATAAAAATTATTTTTATTTCTTTTACATTAAAAAAAACATGCATTATAGCAATCTGATTTTTCAAATTTTTTAACTACTAGATCAGAAAATTTGGAAGAATCAGATAACAAATTATTATCCTGATGAAATAATTTGATTGATATTTTATGAAACATATTTTGATGTGGACAAGGAAGAAAAGAAGGATAAGTTAATAAACAATTATTGAAATTATGGGTGTTTTTTAAATGTAATTTTTTTTAATGTTTGAATGTTTTTTAATATAAAATGTTTATCTTAATTAAAATTAAAAAAATTCAATTAAGATAAATATTTTACATTAAAAAACATTGTTGAGATGAACTGGCTTTTTTTAACTCTTTCAGTCCTGTGGGCACTAAGAGGGCCTCTTTTAGCAAGTCCATTATGGATTCGGCCAAGCCCACAATGGGGAAGCCAGGTGGTGAGGGACGGGTCCCGACATATCCGGACGGACCATCTAAAAAATTTCTAGGGATTTATGAATCTTGGTCTTCCCCCAGAGCAGTAGGCTGCCACCTTGATCGCTCGGCCATCCGTCGCCTAGATCAGCGATTCCCAACCTGTGGGGTTTCTGATTATGGCAGAAAAAATAATATATTATGTATCACAAACTAATAGTATTAAAAAATTATTACGTAAAATATGTTCCTTGCAACAATCACAACTTTATTATACGTTTTTTCATTTAGTTTTTTTTTCTTTAATTTAAAGTTACAATATGTAAAATTAACAATATAGGTACTCACTAAATTTCTTAAATGAGGGGTACAATCTAGAGATATGACATGTCACGGGGTACGCTAATGAAAAAAGGTTGGAAACCACTGGCCTAGATGAATTGGTTTGGAAACAAATAATAATCAAATAATTGTACAAATTAGAATTTCAAGCTACTGTATGTGGTGTAAAGTCAAACATGTTTCAGTGCATTTCACATTCTCAAACACATTTTCAATGCGGAACAAATTTCTGAACAATTTAACTGTATAATATACAGATATCTCCCGTATAACACTGTAGTTAGGTTCCGAAAAAGTGCTGTGTTGTGCAAATCCATGCAATTAGAAACAAAGGACTAATACGAAACATACAGTTAGGTTCCAAAAGTTAGAAAAGTATACTATTCTTTTTCGTAATTAAGATAAATATTCATATGTTTATTAAAGCAGTCAATAATTAACTAACAACCGCAATCAAAAATATTGCACCTTAATATTGACTTTTTTCTTCACTGCCAAACTTTGTTAAACGAGGATGGAAAAATATCGTTATCTTCTGAGCTTTCCTGTTGACCCTAATCTGATGTATCGGCAACATCTTAATTTTTCTCTTTTTTTTTTTTCATAAAATCTAATATTTTAATCTGCCTACATTTGTCTAAGACCTCTAAAAATTTAATCGTTTCATGTAATAACTTTTAATTTAATCTATAAAACAAAACACATCGACAGTCTTTCGGATTCATTTACAACACTATCACCGATAGGTTTATAGGAAAGCTGGAATAGGAAGCTAGGAAAAGGAAGAACAAAAATTGTACTTGTACAATCAATTCTCGTTAAAGAACACCGTGCGAAAGGCACGAATCATTGAAAATTTTTGTATTCTAAAATCCGTGGGCATAAAATATGAGACAACACGCATGCAGAAAGCATGCGTGTTGTCTCATATTTTATGCCTATATTTCATGTTGAATAAATATAGAATGAGTTATTTGCACTTAAAAACTGTGACGTTTTGTACGGAGATTCTCCAATTATCGAATCGTGTTAGAGCGTAACTATGTTGTACGGGGGATTTCTCTAATTCTAGAACCCTGTTAAACCGAAACTGTGTTATAGGAATGCCATGCTGTATGGGGATGCCTGCAATTGTTTACTTTATATAGAAGTTTGTTGTGATTTGATATATACTATCTGGATTGCTGCTTTCCCCTTCAACAATCTTTTTTTGAACTTCTTCAAAAGTTTCTTTTCTGAAAAATAGTTAATTTCGCTTTTTCCCATAAAACATCTTATATTTTAGCCAAAGAAATAAAATAAACATAGACTTACCACTTTTTTCAATCATGTCTAAGAGGGACCTCGGGATCTCAAGAGTACATGCATACTCTTGAATGCATCTGTCTTAATTCAGAAAAAAAATCATAGTCGGTAGCACACTTCACGTTTGCTCCAGCAAAACCCGCCAAAATATCTAACTTTAAAACCTATCAACAGACAAAAATCGTCACTTCTACTTTAAAGATCTGAGAATTCATTATTTCAAAGTGTAAAATATTTCGGAAGGAGGTTGAAATTAAAATCACAAGATTTAATTTAAATATTCACGATTTATCTTCTACAAACTTTGTATAGCACCAATGAAACAGTTAATCAGTGTTGCTAGTATCGAGAATATTAAAATTCGTACTCTTAGATGCCGCGTATTCTTATGTGACCTTACCCTATTAAAACCACTTACCAGGAGTAAGACAAAGAAACAAGCAGCTAAATAAGCAAACCAATGACATAATCCCTTTCATACGAAACAAACTACATCATTGGTTTGCTTAGTTTGGTATTTGTTTCTCGAACTCACCCCAGGCATCCCGAGAAAGAGACAAATCTATAACAAAATCAACTCATACATTTAATTCAAAGGAACACAACGAATTATTTATTAATTACTGCATACATTTTTTCCAACTAATTTTTCTGTAGTAATTTTAATGATAAATTATGAATTAACTAGTAGGCTATAGTTAGTGTTGTTACATAATTTCGTAATAATTACCATAAAAATGATCACAATCATGTTTTTTTCTGAATAAACTGTTTTGATTAAAATAAAATTCCGTTTATTATCTATGAAATAATACAGCCGGATAAGCCAGCCAATGACATATCGTTTCATTTGAAACGAAATACGTCATTGGTTTGCTTATCCAGCTGTTTAAAGAGGCATTAAAGCCAGGTCCTAGAATATAATCTAGGACCTTGGTATTAAAGCTGCTTCACCAGTAAATTGCTTATTTTTTATTTTTTAACTGATAAAAATTCTTACTTATCGAACAGGATTTCCTACAAACTATACTTAATTACTAAATTTTATCAAAAGTCCTTCCTAAATAACATTTTTTAATATATAGCCTATATATATAGTCCCAGTATATATAGCTTATATATAGGCTATATATACTGGGACTAAACATGATGACTTCTTGGCAAATAAAGAATGAAGATCAAATCAAATCAAATCAAAAGATAGGAAAATTATCAATAAATAAATATAGAGTATATTTGTATTTATTAATACTTAAATAAAAAATAAACATTTAATAAGTCTATATGCTGAATAATCATTTGATAAAAAAATTATTACAATACAATCATTCTTCAAGTGTTCATCTCGAACAAAATATTTATTTTACTCCAATTGTAAAATATATAATAGAGGAAAGAAGAACACAGTAAGAAAATTAAACCCCAAAATAAATACTTTACCTATCATCAGATGGCGCTCAAGTTTTAAAACGGACTCTCCTACGTTATTTTTTGGATTAAAGATAATCGTACAGTACTGTACATAGATTTATATATTTTTTCCTTTAAGAAAAAATATTAAAATAACAAAATCGTTTATTTTTAAATAGAAATTTAAATTCTCGTTAATTGTTTTATTAAATAATACTTTTCGAATGCAAAACTTTTCAATTTAACTTTTTAAAAAAACTCTATAATTTGCATACAGATTGATCCTTTGACGATTTATATAAAAACTGAAGTTAAACGAGGATTTTTCCTATTTTAATCGATTTAAAAAAACTGTTTTCCGCTTTACGAATCAAAGTTTACAAAACAAAATGATGTCATAGCTTGTGCTTTCTAAGAAACTTCGGGTGGAGCTGGTAGCAAAGGATTTTTTTCCTTTCGAGATATAAATTTTTGAAAAATATCATTGAAATTTTATAGTATAGAACGAAAGCAAATAGCCATTAGTGCTTATGACTCATCTGGATATGGTTCCTTTTTTTATCGCGAGGGGGGCCAGTTTGTTGGTTTGTGTCCCTCGTATCGATTAAACTGCAATCCAGACGTTCTGCAAGAAAAATGTTAAGGAACAAATAACCATCTCGATTGATTGCCTGCGGGGTTCTCAGCAGTCATTCGATACTTGGGAATTTTCCCCCGTGTTGGGAGGGGGGTCGCATCACATTCTGGTGACTTAATGTGAGAAATTTTTCCTCATCCGCTGCTAATAACGCTATTATCGGACTTGGAAAAATATTCTTTTATTTATTTTTTTCTTCTCGCTATCGTAAAGAACCCATTGTTTGAGAGATTCGCAGTTTTTATCTGTGTCGTCACTTTTCGATTCAGTTTTAATTGTTTCGTCATAAGCCGACCAATTTTAGAATGGATTTATTAGTTTTTTTATTGTTACGTCATCAATTTTTCATTGAATGTTTTTTATCTGAAGTTTTAGAGATACGTGTTCTATTATCGGATTAATCTTTTTTATTGAGCTTCTGTTTATTTGTGTTTTGTATCTGTCGCGTCGATATCAAAATGTAAGTTTATTTATAATTTAATATGCGTCACGACATCGGTTTTAAATAGGATTTTTGTGTGACGTCATGGCTTTCTGTATAAATTTGAAAAAAATTTCGAATTGGCCATCTGTGTTAACACAGGCGATTGGTAACGCTTTATTATAGGTCCCGGGAGAAATGTTATCGGCTTGGCGGCTGTTCTGCCACTATCTCTGTGATTTAAATCGCGTTGTCGGATAGTGCAGTAGTTGCATCTCTGCGTTCTAAGCTTAATAGGTTTACAAATGAACGTATAGGATTCGCAAATCGGATATTTAATAGTTACAGACCTTGAGTGCGCCCACACACGATCCCCGTTCAACGTCCTCCTCCGAAAAGAGGAGGCAAAAAAGCTCTCAAGACCTGTTACTTCCGCCGCCATCCTCGACCGAAAGTGAGGGTGCGGAGCAATGACGTCATTAGCAGAGATGGCTGACAGGCGCGAAGGACTTGCTGAGGGTACATATATCGGTATGGTTATGTTTATGATCACGTGGATGAAAGATTGTTACGATGGGGCCTTGGCCGCCGTCCACTGAACGGAAATCGTGCGTTTGTACCTTGCAATGCACAATAAGACGAAACAGAAGGAGGGAGAGAGAACAGCTGATGATGGCGTCTTGTGGTGACCCCGGCATCAAATGTCAACTGTATTGGCGATGGTGGCTGATGGGGATACTTGCTCTCTGTGCTCGGGAATTAGATGCCAGTAACTTTACCATCCAGGAGCTGTTGAATAACAAGTATCCTCATCTAGTTAGTGCAGATATATATTTGGATCCTTGCAAGTCAGGTAAAACTCGACTCGGTTTAATTATTTCGTGTAGAAACGTGCACGTCATCGTGTCCCGATACGCAATTAAATTTTACGTAATAGAAATTTTAATGATGTAAATTCAAATTTTGCAAAATACACTAGTCCCTTAGTTTGTGCAGCACTTTAAACGATAAGAAACATATTATAGATCTCATTGTATACATGAATCTCGATAAGGTGGCCAGTTGATAAATCTGGATAAGAGGGAAACATAATCGCTTACATAAATAAGCGATTAGATAGACGTCCTTTATTATAAAGTCATTCAATTAGGGTGGAAGTACTTAACATATCTTTGATGAGCTAAACGCGCGGCAACACTTATAATATCTTAAGCCGGTCCTTGGAGATGGAGACTTATAAGAGGACGGAAATGAGCTTATGTCTTATCATCTGCAAAGTTTCTGTCAACAACGACTGACATCTGGCAATCATCTGTCTACATCCGATTGCTTTTGTTCCCGAGAATTAAACGCTATAATCTATTTCAACATTCGTTCCTAGGAAGGAAGAATGTAAATAATTTGGATATAGGTCATTTTTTTGCTTCCTTCCTTTAATTTACCGCTCTAATGTAATAATTTAATAACACGAGTCTTTATCGTGTTAAAATTTTTTTAATTACAGAAGGCTTTGTGGGTGATATTGCTCTAGGAAGACCGGAGGATGAGAAATATGAATGGGAACTCAGGCATCAAAACAATTTGGATAAACACAAGTGAGTAAAAGACACACGTTATATTTTTATAATTTTATGCATAATGCATTCCGTTAATACAAAAAAAAAAACACGGTTTGTTTAGCCATACCGATGAAAAGAAAAGGCCTGAAAGAGCAGCAACGGCTCGACCCGAAAGATTATGGGAACATGCAGTTATACCTTATGAAATCGAGTCTAATTTTAGTGGTAAGTATCATGTATCCATTTTAAAAATTTCACATATTATCAATTTAAAAACTTTAACGTTCTACTCTAACCTGTTATAGGAGAACACCGAGCTCTATTCAAACAAGCTATGAGACATTGGGAAAATTATACTTGCGTCAAGTTTGTGGAAAAAGGACCAGAACATCTCGAATACATTATCTTCACAGAGAGATCTTGCGGGTATGAATTAACAGATTGTTTTAAACAGAAATAATAATTTGTTAGCAATTCTATTATTTCAGATGTTGCTCTTTCGTTGGCAAGAGAGGGGGAGGCTCGCAGGCAATATCAATAGGTAAAAATTGCGATAAATTTGGCATCGTGGTTCATGAATTAGGTCACGTGGTAGGATTTTGGCACGAGCACACCAGACCAGATCGAGACAATCACGTTCAAATCATCACAAAAAACATTATGATTGGTAAGCCAATTTTTTAAAATTACTTTTCTTTTCTAAATTAACGAGCATTGGAACAGTTGCTTGTTTTTGAATCTTGTAAGGCCAGGAGTATAACTTTAACAAGTTGACGGAAGAGGAAGTAAATTCATTAGGTTTACCTTACGATTATGCCAGTATTATGCACTACGCGAGGAACACTTTTTCTAAGAGCACTTACTTAGACACCATATTGCCTCAAGAAGAACCTCATACCAAAAAACTGCCCGAAATTGGCCAGAGAATACGATTGAGTCAAGGAGACATCGCGCAGACTAACTTATTATATAAATGCCCGAGTGAGTAGTTAAAATTACACTCTAACTGATCATAAAACAAAAATGAAAGTTATAAATAAATTTTTCTTGTGTTTAGAATGCGGTCGGACCATCCAAACACCGAAAGGGATTATTTCTTCTCCTCAAAATCCTCCCTCAGACGAAGGCGTGCATTGCGAATGGAGAATTACAGCTACACACGGTGAAAGAATAGTCTTTAACATCACGGATTTGGACATCTTTGAAACTCCCAAATGTGATACAGACTATTTAGAGATTAGAGACGGATATTGGGTAAAGTCTCCTATGTTGGGTAGGTGCTTCTGGTTACGTAATATATTTATATTTTTTAAATGCAGTACCAACTTTAAATATTTTAACTCGTTCAAGGACGATTGTGTGGAAGTAACACCATCCAATCCTTCATATCAACTTCTCATCGTTTATTAGTTACATACAAAACCTCTTCTAGGCAAGGTAACCACAGAGGATTCTCTGCTAATTACGAAGGTTAGATTCTTCTGGATCGATGAAACTTTTACGACCCATACATGACCGATTAATTAAGAAGAGTCGTAAAGTTATACAATAAGGATGTTTTTTCTGTTTGGCAGCTGTGTGTGGCGGTGACGTGGTTATGGAAGAGGGTATCCTGCAGAGTCCCAATTTTCCAGAAGATTATCGCCCAAATAAAGAATGTCTCTGGCGTATTACTGTGCCCGATAATTATCAAGTAGCTCTGCAGTTTCAGTCATTCGAAGTGTGTAACTTTTTATTGATTAACGGCTTCCTGTTGAGAGTTATTTAATAGGAAATTCATTCACAGGTTGAGAACCACGATAACTGCGTCTACGATTACTTGGAAGTGCGCGATGGTCACGACATTACCAGCAAGCTTTTAGGGAAATATTGTGGTTATAAAGTACCCGATGAGATAGTCTCGTCGGGAAATAAAATGTCTGTGAAATTCGTTTCGGATGGTTCGGTTCCAAAAGCCGGTTTCTCTGCAAAGTTTATGAAAGGTAAGTAGTGATATCTTTATTCACAGCTATGGCGCCATCTATGGATTGAATTAATTCAAACAAGCACATTACTTTCTAGAGTTGGACGAATGCAAAAATACAGAGCACGGCTGCGATCACGAATGCGTTAATACATTAGGAGGCTATAGATGCGAATGTCATATAGGTTACGAATTACATTCCGACGGACGAAAATGTGAAGGTAAGCTAGCTCGCTTTATTCACTTGTTAAAGCTATACAGCTATACTTACTCAGACTTTACAGATGCGTGTGGAGGCATTATCGATGATATCAACGGCACTATTGTAAGCCCGTCGTTTCCCGATGTCTACCCACCTAATAAGCATTGCGTTTGGGAAATCATGGCATTACCTAAATACAGAATCACTCTAAATTTCACTCATTTCGACTTAGAAGGAAATAATGTAAGTCACGTAACTTTCTATTCATATAATAGCGTAAGAAAATTTAAACATCTTTCTTAAACAGCAAGACTGCGAGTATGACAGCTTACAGATTAGAAGTAAATTGGGAGAAAATGAAGTTCGAAAGCATGGAGTGTTTTGTGGATCACATCTTCCTCCTACTATTACTTCCGAAGGGAATAACTTGCGAATAGAATTTAATTCAGACAACTCTGTGCAGAAAAGTGGTTTTGCAGCCATTTTTTCCACCGGTAATCTTCTTCTTTTTGTTATATTCCACTTTTATTTTTCATACTTAACAGGTTAAATATTACAGATCGTGATGAATGTGTAACGAGGAACGGGGGATGTCAACATATCTGCAAAAACACGTTAGGTAGCTATATCTGTGCTTGTCATAATGGTTACGTTCTGCACGATAACAAACACGATTGTAAAGAGGGTAAGTGTTTTAAATTTATCGATAATAAATTTGAATGTCGCGTGCTGATTACTTGTATACTGTTAGGAAGCTGTACTCATCAGATAAACAGTCCTATAGGAGAAATTAGTAGTCCGAACTATCCCGATTTTTATCCCAGCAAGAAAGAGTGTGCTTGGCTATTCACGGCTACACCCGGACATAGAATTAAAATAGTAAGTATTAGAGCTAAACGTAGCGTAATTACATTCATTAATTAAGTAATTTCGAGTTCTTAAAATGATCATTATTTTTCAGATATTTGACGAATTCGAACTGGAGCCGCATCAGGAATGTGCTTACGATCACATTGTAGTTTACGATGGAGATAGCAACGAAGCTCCGACTTTAGGCAGATTTTGTGGTAGTAAAGTACCTCACCCTGTCCTCGCCTCGTCTAATAGGATGTATATGATGTTTAAATCTGATGCTTCTGTACAGAGAAGAGGTTTTAAAGCGACGCACAAAACAGGTAAGCCTAACCTAAATTGAATGTATTTAACGAATTAAATACTAATATTTTTACTTGCAGTTTGTGGCGGGAGATTGATTGCACACACAAGCGTGGAGCATCTATATTCTCACGCGAAGTACGGAGATCAGAATTACGATAACAAAGAAGACTGCGATTGGTTTATAATAGCGAAAGACAACGGTAGAGTACGTCTCTCGTTCCTCACATTCGAAGTGGAGCACGAACAGGATTGTGGTTACGATTTTGTAGATGTTTATGATGGACGTGATGATTCGTCTCACTTGTTAGGAAAGTTCTGCGGTAATAAAGTCCCACCGGAGATGATATCGACAGGCGATTCTATACTTTTGAGGTTTCGTTCCGACGATACCATCAACATGAAAGGGTTCTCGGTAGCTTACGCCGAAATAGAATCGTACGAGGACGACGACGACGATTTTGCGGATTGAAATTTGCCAAAATAAATAAATGAATAAATAAATAACTGTACAGCATTTGATAAAGACATATTTTTACCACAGTAATCAGATTTAACTTTTGTTTTATTTGTTGTCAAATACCCGCATTATCATCACCGAGGAAGTAGGTGTAAGAACTTACCCATAACGGGTCCATACTTATTAAAAAAAAAAAACAAAAAAAAGAGAAAAACGAAACAAAAAAAATTAACATGAATACCCAATCGCCTTTATTCTTCGAATTCTTCAAGCCGTAGGTGAAACTGTCAACAATCATCTAGTCATTCAAACCCATCAATCGTCTTTCCTCTCATTCTTTCATTTTACTTCCGGGCGACGTTATGTCCAGTGGTGTGTGCTGGGTTTTGATACATTGGATGTAAATTATTTGTAAGATGATTTGAAAATAAAAGATTTTTCATATATTGAACAGTTAAAGAATTACCTTTCTTTTATTTAAATATATATAGGCTATATATATATAATGTAACCATTAACCAAATGTATAAATGCAAATCAGATAAAATATGTTTGCTAAAGGGGAGGGAGGAACTTTAACTTGATACAATTAAGTCTCTAAAGGCTTCTATTCACTAACAACTTTGGCAATCTTCCAATCTTCACGATAAAGACTCTCTTGGATGGTTTCTATTACTTAAAAAATAAGCAATATAATAATTGAAAATTATATAGAGCAAACTGGATTTTCTCAATAAATTATTGACGATAATTCATGCTGTGATTTTCTAGATAAAAATAGAAGAAAAACATACCTGTCCATATCAGATAATATCAGATAAGGCACGATCATTGGCCCATTTTGAAACGACCTCGTTTGACCGGCCAACCGGTTATTCGAAAATCAACCAAAATGGAAAGAAGATACTTACTAGACTTATTGAATTTTCGTTCGAATTTCGTATTTTACATCAACAAACTTATGATTGATTCGGAATCCATCAACCTTCGCATTTGATATGAAAAAAATTTTGTAGGAAATATTAAATTCGATCGGATGTATGCAATTTCCTACTTTAACAAAAACTTGTTAATGAAGAAAAGCCAATAAACTAATCGGAAAGCTTCAAAATTGCTTCTAAACTGTAACAATAGATCTCGTATTAGACGTAGTATTACTCGATTCAGGTTACATCCTACGGGGGAGGGTATTTTTTGTGTAATTTGTCTTATGGACTTGGCCTATTTAACTTAACGAGTAATACCTGGAGGATAGACGAAGAGGAGGAGTATCGATGACGTAATTTGAAGTATATAAGACAAATCGTCTCGATAACTTCATTATCATCATGAAAACTAGCATCATCATAAAGGTGAGTTCTTCCACATTCATACAATCGTACCGAATTATAATATGTTAACCTTTAGGCGGTCCCGCTCCCTTTAATCTCAAGTTACTGCGGTAGTAAAGTGCCGCATCAGCTAGCATCCTCCCTTGATAAATCGATGCCGAAATTTTGTTGCAATAAGTTGAATGTCGTATCTACAGTTAGATGTAGTACAGACTTTAATTAGTAGCGTTAGGCAGCATCCAGATATCGATCGTACTACAGCTTTTCCATTCGGAGTAACCTCTTTCATAACTGGAAAATCGGAGTAAATAGTTTTCTTTCAATATCCAAGTTCATCTATTGCTCCAGGCATTATTACTTTTTTTAACTTAAAACAATTCCTAGTGCGATTAGTTATCCAATATCAGTAATCATCACAAATTCCCCTCTTAGCAAATGTACTATTTTTTAATCGTATTCGTTAGTTTATTTAAATTATCCTGTTCTACTTAGAATAAACAGCAGGTGATAAGTTGTATTTATAAATTGTAAACAAATTGCTTTCATGAACTAAAGTTTACATTTTAATTTTTAGAAAAGAAAAATTTATTTTAAATAATTTCGTAAAAATGAACGTAAATCAAATGAAATTTAATTTTTTTAATCTGTTTACTTCTTTAGATTCTTCTTCTAGTAATGGCGGAGACGAAAGATGTAACTAGAGGAAGAAGATCCACTACCAAATTTCCCAAAATGGAACTTTTGGAGACTTTCTCATTAACCCATTCGCCCGTTCCTCGTTATAATCCTCTAGAGATGAGTCCGTTAGAGGGAAATGGATTTTTCTCGACATTACGTCTTCTTGGAAAATTTGGAAGTCAGCTCTTCGATAAAGCGTTAGATCGCATTAACTCATGGACTATGGAATCGATATCGAAGCCTGTTTATACTTCTCTAGGTTCTCTACAACCCGAAAAACCGAGCGGGCTATCGAAAATTATCTTTGCCTCCGAAGATTTAGATGATTTTGCTCTTCCGTCCACTCACGTTATTAAATACGAACCTCTAAACGAACCAACATATCTAGAACTCTCTAAGGACTGGTGGGATCCCCCTTGTAAATACTGTTATGAAAATTTCGATTTATTGGAACAATTACCGCCTTATCGCAATAGACCGATTGTTAAAATTAATTACGATCAAATCGCTCACTCATCTCCACCTAGAATTCGAGAAAACATAAAACTTAACAGGAAACCAATACGTTATCAAATAAAGAAGAGAAAACCTTTGCGAAAATTTCCCAAATGGAAAATTTCCAAAAATAGAAATGTATGGAATCCTATAACATCGTCCGAAAAAGATTTTATACCCCGACAAAGACCACGCGATTACGTTAAAGCATCATCATCCCTAATACTGAAGAAGTATCCGAGTGCTTTCCCAGTAGTGAAGTATCAGAATTCATTTCCAGCAGTGAATATCCCTACCAGTAGATTCCCTTTAATAAAGAATCCACTCAGCAGTACCTTCTCAATAGGTGAAAAGTATCGCAGTAACGTTTCTCCCGCTGTGCCGAAATATCCCGACGGAGCATTGAAAGTACTATCTCCGCCCAAAACTACATTACGTCCTACTACGACTACAATACCTGCTCTTTCCCCTCCTACTACCGTAACAGTCAGCACTTCCACAGAACCAAAAACAAGCTACGTCTGGAAACGTCGTAAATCGACAACGCTTCGACCATTTAGAAAACCTCAATATTACTGGAAATCAACTAGAACTACACCCAAAATTACAACGGAATCTATTCTGGAAACATCTACGCAAATAAGTTACAGCGTTATCAGGCAAGAAGTGCCTAATAATGATACTAGTGCTATTTAAAAATTATATTCTATCTATAGCGTTAATTTACTCGTCGATGAACCAAGAAGAAACTCACTAATGCGAAAACGCTAAAGATAAGCAACACGAAGAAGAAGAAGAAGAAGAAAAAAAAAACATTGTCACGAGAAGTATTTAGGGAACAAAATCTGTAATTATTGAGGACGCTCTAGTAATAACATATCGATTCAAATATTCAAATCATTAAAGGAAGATTTAAAAAATAGTTTAAAAAATTATATGGACTAGATTACGCGTCCTTGACACGATAGGCTAATCTAGTTTATTATTAATTGTTGGGTTTATTCTAAATTATAAACAGAAATCATTTATACATGATGATTAACAGATTATATAAAATTATTGTGTGTATATATATATATATATATATAAATACGTATATGAATATGATAAATTAAAAATAAATCTAATAAATTTATGAAACGTTTTAATCTCTCTCAATGTTTTTGAAAATATTCAAGCATTTATCCTTCACAACAGTTTATCATTTATTCTCTATCTATATTTATTTTAAAATGATGGCATGTTTTTTATTATTACGAATATAAAAAAATTATACAACATTAAATTTTTAGTTTCATATTTTTAAATAATATAAGCATTTTAAAGATTTATCCATTTCCAAAAGTATAAAATGTAAAAGAAATTAATAAACATTTCGAGATTCGTAGATGAATTTATTGATAGATCTCAATCAGCATTGACTTTTGAACTCATCACGTGCTTACCCAAATCGCTTATAAACTAAACATTAGGATACGCGAGTTCTTTTTGAAAGATCCTTCGCAATGGCAACTTTAGGAGCTCGATTATCCGAATCGGAAACTGTATCTAATGGAATACACGTAGACGGATTAGCGGAATACCACGGAGTGGCCGAGGTATTTTTATTTACTTCCGAATCCGTCGGAGAAGGGCATTCCGGTAAGTGAAAATCCCAATGGAAAAAATAAGTATAACGTTAATCTCTCTTATCAGATTTAGAGGGATTAACGTGGTAATTATTTCTCGCACCAGTAGCAAGAGACCCAATTACATTATGTGTAAATAGAACGCATTTTTTTCCCACTTTATCTAGCTTTTTGTTTTGAATCGACGCAATCAGGACGTATAACACAGTTTCGGAAATCAAGTGAAAATTCATATAATTCTCACATTACGAAAAGGAAGATCTATTACACAGATCAGTTTGGGATGTATAAAAAGAAAGATTTAAATACTAATTTATCTAAAAACTTCCCCAACTAGCGTGGATTAAACGCAAAAATCGCGTAACGACCGCCATAAAAAGTACTAACTGTCTTCTTATCCTACCTTAATGATCTTCCTTTAGTAATCTATCAGAAATTTTATCATTGAAACTTCTGATAGAATCATATTTCTTAATACGTTTAGTAATTTATCGATTTAGAAGCGAATCGCATTTAATTAATTAATGTATCTATAGTAAAAAAAATTTATTTATCCAAGTTATCCGCTTTCAAATCAACAACTTAACTGAAATTTCCTGTAAGATTTTTCATAATTTTTTGTATTATTATTTCGACATATGATTTATTTTCCATGTTATAGCATAAAAAATTTCTTAATATTACGTAAAACAACATTAATATTCATTCTGCATTTTAACGCCATTTTAATTACGATTTTCTTAAACTGAATTAATCAAACTTCTGATTTTAATTACAATTTTCTTAAACCGAATTAATTAAACTCGTGATTTTAATTATTGATTAATATTATGATATTAATTAAGAAAATCGCACTTAAAATTTAATTCTAATTAAGATTTTCTCAAATTAATTGAATCAAAAACCGTGATTTTAATTATTAATTGCCATCGTGATTTTAATTAAGAAAATCAAAATGTTAAAAGTTAATTATGCTAATTTTTTAAATGTAATTAACGTTAAAATCAAATCAATAAAATACTATTAAATAGTATTTTATTGATTATTTATAATATTTTCACATACTTTAATCGATTAAAGTGGATTAAAATCGATTTTAATGGAGTTCATTTAATTTAAACTTACTCAAATTATCGTCTGCTTTTTTTTTATAATCTCGAACCAAAAGCGGGTTAACACGATTTATTGGTTTCTTTCTTTTCTTTTATCGTTTTTAATATTATTTAAAACTCGGCAAGCTAATTTATAATTTTATAAATTATGATACACGCCTCTAAATTATTCTAAAAGCAAAAATAGGGCACGATATCGAAGTTTATGCAAGCACTTGACCCCGCATTAGTCCGATGCACTTCACTGAGGCAAACGCCCCCTTTCGAGCGAAACGGTCAATATTAAAAGAAAAAAAGTTCTTTTTAAATTTAATTCGGAAACATAACTTTGTTTTTTTTTTTAAATTTCCATTTATTATTAATTCTTATTATTATTATTGTTTAAAAAAAACAGATAAAATTTGCGATCAAATCAGCGATGCTGTCTTAGACGCTCACTTAAAAGAAGATCCAGATGCTAAAGTGGCCTGCGGTAACATTTTTCTTTGTTTTTTTTTATCCTTTTTCTACGCATAAATTAATAGATTAATTAATTAAAAAATACTAAATTAATTCTTTTAATTTTAAATTTAGAAACGGTAGCGAAAACAAATATGGTCCTCCTTTGCGGCGAAATTACATCAAATGCCATTATAGACTACGAAAAAATTGTCCGTCAAACAATTCGGCAGATTGGTTACGACGATATCTCTAAAGGTATAATTAATGCATTTTTATGTGTACAGTAAATTTATCGAACCGTCGGTCCTCCATTTTGATTAATCATTCGGAACCGCGGTCTGTCATCCATATCAATTGCTTTATTAAATAGAACGAGCTAACTCTCTTTTTACATTAAAAAAAAATAGGCTTTGATTACAAGACATGTAACGTTGTGACTTCAATCGATCAACAGAATCCTGAAATTGCAATAGGAGTTCATCAAAATAAGGATGAGGATAATTTGGGTGCAGGAGATCAGGTATTAAAAAAATGAAGTCTCTATGCATTTTGAACATGTCCTTGTTGTGTTAGTAATTAAGTACAAGTCACACTCATTATAAACAATAATTAACACTTGAAACAGGAAATATTTAGAGCAATTATTTTTTCTCCCTCCTTTTCTTTCTTACAAGGGCTTAATGTTTGGATATGCTACAGATGAAACAGAAGAAAGTATGCCCTTAACTATAATATTAGCTCATAAACTTAATGCTAAAATATCTGAGCTTAGAAAGAATGGCGTTTTATGGTGGGTGAGACCAGATTCTAAAACACAAGTAAGTTTATAATCTGTGTATAATGTGTAGAATTGAAATAAAGATATTTTTCTTAAGAATAATAGTTCAAATTTTCAGGTCACCTGTGAATACTATTTTGATAACGGTGCGGCCATACCCACTCGTGTTCACACTATAGTTATCAGCGTCCAACACAATCCTCAAGTCACGCTGGAGCAACTTAGTCGGGATATTATGGAGCATGTAATCAAACAAGTTGTCCCTTCTAAATATTTAGATGATGATACGATTTATCACATAAATCCATGTGGGAATTTTAGTATTGGCGGTCCAATGGTATTTATATTTTGATGGAATATGATGATGAATTTTATGAGAAATTGTATTAATGAAAGATAATGTGATGCTGGGTGATTCTAGGGTGATGCTGGTTTAACTGGGAGGAAAATTATAGTCGATACTTATGGAGGATGGGGAGCGCATGGTGGAGGAGCATTTTCGGGAAAAGATCCGACAAAAGTGGACCGATCTGCAGCTTATGCGGCACGTTGGGTTGCAAAATCTTTAGTGAAGGCTGGATTGTGCAGGAGATGCCTAGTTCAAGTAAATTTTTAATTACTATCTTTACATGTTCAAAATTTTATATAAAATTTTTTTAATTAAATTTTTTTCAGTTGTCTTATGCAATTGGCATTTCTGAACCACTGTCCATTGCAATATTTTCTTATGGAACTTCTACTAAAACATCTAGAGAGTTAATAAGAATAGTTAAGAACAATTTTGATTTACGGCCAGGAAAAATTATCAAGTAAGCTTCCTTCTTTTCTTAAAAAAATGAGACAAAAAGTTATGTGCTTTGTTACATTTAATATAGAAGGAAGAACTTTGTAATTATATATACACATGTAGGTAAAAATAAAGAATAGCTTTTATATATATATAAATAAGAAAAATATGTAAAATGAATTTCCTATTGTATATAACAAATTAAAATTGCCTAAAGATGTAGTTTTAGGTTAGAGATTTATCTTAATAAATTAGCTAACAAGGCTATTGCTCTAATAAATCTGTACAGATAGTTCAGATATGATGTGAGTATTTAGGCTTAATATACTCAAAATTTTTGTACTAAACTGCCTTACATTTTTTTCAAATATTGTAGTTTATGTTTAATTAATATCCAGTATACTGCATTTAATTGATTAAAAATATAAGTAAGATTCTTAAGAGAGTAGTCAAAATATATATCTAATGTAACTTTGTTCACATAATTTTTAAAATAAAATAGAACTATAATCAAGATAGATGTGTTTATCTTTGATACTATTTCTTATTTTTTTTATGCTTATAAATATTTATAATATAATATATCTGAATCCTTAAAGATTAAAATTATTAATATTTTGTTTAAAAATAACTTTTTAAATATTATTTTACAGAGAATTAAAACTGAAAAACCCAATTTATCAAAGAACAAGTGTCTTTGGTCACTTTGGTCACGATGAATTTCCATGGGAAGTACCAAAGGAATTAATTATATGAAAGCAAATTGTTAGATATAATGTAAGAAATAAATAAATATTAATTCATCTAAACTCTATAATAATATATTTTCTCATAATATATCTGTATATTTTAGTTATTCATGTTTATGTAATTTGTAATCAATAATAAATCATACATAAATTTTGGCATGCAAATGTATTTCATGAATTATTATAGTTTACTCTAAGGAGAAAATCAGAATTTTTAAATTAAATTTTTCCAAATTTAAATGTATTAATATATATCAAGCTATGAATGTTATAATATCTTAAAATATATATAAATCTTCTATAGTTTATAAGATTTAACTATTTCAATGATAACTACATTCACATTTAAAAAATAAATTATTTAAATACTAAGAAGGCACAAATAATTATTTAAATATCTTCTCTCTTTCTACCTAATAAGGAAGAAAGAAGAAAAGAATGAAAATATTTTAAGGTTACAATAATTAACAAAATAACGTTTTTCCCCTCATAAATTATTTTCTAAAAACATTATATTTGAGAGAAAAGAGGAAATGTTAGATAATTAGGTCAAAAAGAGCAAACATAAATTCTGTAAGATAATGAAGCATTATATACAAACTTGGAACAGTTTTTGATATATAATTAGAATGAAATTTTATAATTTTATCAAATTATTTCTAATTGATTTTTAATTAATTTCAAGATTAGAACTTCTCATGTTTTTATATATAATATGTTTATTTGTAATTATTTATTCTTCAATTTAATTAAAATATCTTTAAAAATTTTTAATACTGTTAAAATATTATATTTGTAAACAAGATTAAAAGAAATTAATTTTTTTTATCATCCTATTGAATTAAGTGTATGCACAATATTTCTTGTATATTATAAGGACATACAATTAGTTTGAAATATAATAAATAAATTCACATATCTATTAAATAAAAATTTGGTATTATTATTATATTCAGCATGCTATCTTTTATTTAAATAATACAAAGGATATAATATATTGTTAAATAGATTTATATAAATTTTTTGTTAATATTTCTGCAATTAGTAATCATTAATGAAAACATGCAACATAAATAACAAAATCAGTTCATTAAACATTTATAAATATTTATCAATGAGAAACATTATCAACTGATCAATCTTCTGTTATAAACAATATAGTTAACACTGAAAAAGATTTCAAAGATTACACCAAATATTTACATTTATAATTATAAAACTTTATAAACATAAACGTTTTAATGTGAAAAAACTCATATTATTATTACTGTATACAACCATGAATATTTCAAATTTTACTTTTATTTTCATACAGAAAAATTTTTTAAATATTCACCCTAAATGGAGATTTATCCCACTAATTACCAATTTTATATGAGTAAATTTCTTATTCAGACACATGACCTAAATTTAATATCATGTCATGAGTTAGCCATATGACTTGAGGTTCCCTTTGATCACCTTGTAGCTGAACAACTGTATTTATGAAATCATGTTGTAATTTGAATCCAACCTGAAGTTCAAACAAAATTTTATTATTTAAAAATATATTTTATAAAAGCAAAAGTAATGTATACTTACTTTTATATCATCATCTTTCTTTTGAGGTAAAATCTTCATAACAATAGCAATTTTATTAGCTTTACGAAAAATTACAACGCTAAAATTAAGACAAGTGAAATTATTATGATATTAATATACAGAATCAAATATACATTATAATATAACTTTTTTCTATGTTAAATTAAGTTCAACATTTCTTACTTTGGATCGTCTTTAAATGCTAAATTATCATTAATATCATCAAATTCAGCTGTGTCATCTCTGGCAGAAACANTCATGAACTAAAGTTTACATTTTAATTTTTAGAAAAGAAAAATTTATTTTAAATAATTTCGTAAAAATGAACGTAAATCAAATGAAATTTAATTTTTTTAATCTGTTTACTTCTTTAGATTCTTCTTCTAGTAATGGCGGAGACGAAAGATGTAACTAGAGGAAGAAGATCCACTACCAAATTTCCCAAAATGGAACTTTTGGAGACTTTCTCATTAACCCATTCGCCCGTTCCTCGTTATAATCCTCTAGAGATGAGTCCGTTAGAGGGAAATGGATTTTTCTCGACATTACGTCTTCTTGGAAAATTTGGAAGTCAGCTCTTCGATAAAGCGTTAGATCGCATTAACTCATGGACTATGGAATCGATATCGAAGCCTGTTTATACTTCTCTAGGTTCTCTACAACCCGAAAAACCGAGCGGGCTATCGAAAATTATCTTTGCCTCCGAAGATTTAGATGATTTTGCTCTTCCGTCCACTCACGTTATTAAATACGAACCTCTAAACGAACCAACATATCTAGAACTCTCTAAGGACTGGTGGGATCCCCCTTGTAAATACTGTTATGAAAATTTCGATTTATTGGAACAATTACCGCCTTATCGCAATAGACCGATTGTTAAAATTAATTACGATCAAATCGCTCACTCATCTCCACCTAGAATTCGAGAAAACATAAAACTTAACAGGAAACCAATACGTTATCAAATAAAGAAGAGAAAACCTTTGCGAAAATTTCCCAAATGGAAAATTTCCAAAAATAGAAATGTATGGAATCCTATAACATCGTCCGAAAAAGATTTTATACCCCGACAAAGACCACGCGATTACGTTAAGGCATCATCATCCCTAATACTGAAGAAGTATCCGAGTGCTTTCCCAGTAGTGAAGTATCAGAATTCATTTCCAGCAGTGAATATCCCTACCAGTAGATTCCCTTTAATAAAGAATCCACTCAGCAGTACCTTCTCAATAGGTGAAAAGTATCGCAGTAACGTTTCTCCCGCTGTGCCGAAATATCCCGACGGAGCATTGAAAGTACTATCTCCGCCCAAAACTACATTACGTCCTACTACGACTACAATACCTGCTCTTTCCCCTCCTACTACCGTAACAGTCAGCACTTCCACAGAACCAAAAACAAGCTACGTCTGGAAACGTCGTAAATCGACAACGCTTCGACCATTTAGAAAACCTCAATATTACTGGAAATCAACTAGAACTACACCCAAAATTACAACGGAATCTATTCTGGAAACATCTACGCAAATAAGTTACAGCGTTATCAGGCAAGAAGTGCCTAATAATGATACTAGTGCTATTTAAAAATTATATTCTATCTATAGCGTTAATTTACTCGTCGATGAACCAAGAAGAAACTCACTAATGCGAAAACGCTAAAGATAAGCAACACGAAGAAGAAGAAGAAGAAGAAAAAAAAAAACATTGTCACGAGAAGTATTTAGGGAACAAAATCTGTAATTATTGAGGACGCTCTAGTAATAACATATCGATTCAAATATTCAAATCATTAAAGGAAGATTTAAAAAATAGTTTAAAAAATTATATGGACTAGATTACGCGTCCTTGACACGATAGGCTAATCTAGTTTATTATTAATTGTTGGGTTTATTCTAAATTATAAACAGAAATCATTTATACATGATGATTAACAGATTATATAAAATTATTGTGTGTATATATATATATATATATATAAATACGTATATGAATATGATAAATTAANGTAAAAATGAACGTAAATCAAATGAAATTTAATTTTTTTGTATTTTTCTTGTTCAATTCAAGAAACGAAAAATAATGGCATCAATTTCTCTAAATTGGTTCACTGGAATCAAAATACTAGTATTAAAGATAATACATCATGCACTGTAGTTGCTACTATCCAGGACAAGCACCAGGCACTGATTAGTATAAGGGTGAAATCAGAGCTAGCAACTACTATGGATAATGCAACAACCTCTTTGATGCATTTTCATCTTTATGTGCAGCATTTGGTCAGGTGGTAATTTTATGTAAGTACTGGCTTAGAAGTTTCATTTCAAAAATCATTATGTACAGGATATAATCTTGATTGAGAATAAAAAAATTAAACTTGGTTATATACACTATGAAATTAAGTTTAATTCAGAAAGAGTTCTCTATTTAGTATTATCATAATAATGATGTATAAAATAATTAAGAAACTGTAAATTGGTATATATCATAAAACTACTTTTGAAATTCATAAACTATTATTAGTATTTATTAATATCAGCATTAAAATTATATTTTACACAAATTTATATTATTGGATATTACAATTTTACTTTAAAAGAAACTATTTAGAAATAACTGTTTATAGAAATTATTTCCTAATAAATAATTTCTATAAGCACTTTTGTAATAAATTAATACTGCATTAAGTTAATAGTTAAAATTTAATAGAATATTGAAAATTACAATTGCAGAAAAACATACAAGTACTTTACATCTTAATATTACAAATTATAATTACAGGGAGATTATAATCAACTTGAAGAATAATTATATACTTAAAAAAGTTTATTATTTAAAATATCCTTAATTAATAACACTCTTAATTATATAGAGAATCTCATCATAATGTGTTTCTGTTTTATAATAGTTTGAACATTTTTACATTTAAATTGATATAAGATAAAATTTCTATAATGTTTTAAGTATTATTAAAATATTCTTCTCATTTTAAATGCAAATTTAAAACATATAAAAAGTTACTAACCTGAAGATATTTGAGAGGATATATTTTCCTAATGCGTATCTCAGGAATATGATAACTAGTGAAAAAATTTGAGCACGTATTATAAAGTATATTTGTATTTAATATAATATAATGCTACAAATACAATTTATTATAACAAAAAAATTATTTTATATAGCATTTTTTGTAATAAAAGTTTGCATTTCATAATATAGACTTTTTTATTACTATAATATAAATATTAAATATGAAAATCAAAATTGCCTTTTAATTTATCAATATATGTTTTATTTTTATGCATAAGGACTTGATCAGTGTGAAATTCCTCACTTAACAACATTAAGTGAAATGACATATAACAAAACTAATTCTGCTATAGGTTGAAGCATATAAATATGATATAATTTGATTAATATTATTCTATTTGTATTGTATTTCTATTATGTTCTGGCATTTTTTTTCCAGCTTGTAAAATCAATTTTACTGTAAAAAAAATTCAATAATGATAATTGTAAATGATTAAATATGTGCTTTTATCTTTCCTAAACAGCATTAAATAAGGACTTGCTGTACTTTTCATGCTATTTGGATATTCAATATGATATGATAGTATTACTGTATATTCATTTATGTCTTTACATTAGTAGAATCTAGTTACTATACCATTTTGGGATACTGATAACAATAACCAACTGATAATATTAAATGGAATATGTAAATAAAACTACAATTAATAGAAATTCTAGTTTTACTAACTCTAACATGTTAAAACAATTATAAAATGTATACTCTAATTATAATTATAATAATTATTATTACTAACTTACATGTTTTTGGATATGCTAATTCTAATAACATTAAATGATTGATAAATTTTGTTGCAATTTGAAAGCAGAGAATTAAATAATTAAATAATTCATATATTTATATATTAATTTATAATTATTTTTGGATGATCATTTTTAAAGTTAAAAGTTATATATGTCTTTAAGTGTTAGTATTTCACTAACACTTAAAGACATATATAACTTTTAACTTTAAAAATCGATTTAATACACCAGGTTACACAATTTTCTGTTTCAATAATATAGAAAAGTATGTAAAAAGTACAAAATTTAATCTGTGTATTCAAAGACTATTATAATATTCCATATGATATATTTTGTATTTTTTTGATATGATTTGAATTCTTCTATAGGTCACACAAGCACAGACTTTACGTAAAGCTTCAATTTTTTTTGGTGAACACAGACCTAACTTAAAATAGTGCTTAAGTTTAGAGTTGGCATTAGAGAGAGATAGGAAATAATATTCACAAATATAAACATCTATAAGCTCAATAGTTATATCAAAGCCAAATGATTGCCAAATTAGATTTGCTATATTACTGCTGCTATGAATAGCATTTAATTATTAATAGTAGCAGTAATATAGCCCAATCTAATCTGGCAATTGTTTGTCTTGAAATAATATTCAGATCTGAATTATTCATAGAAATTATGAAAGTTTAAACTGGATTTATACCCAAATCTCTCACTAACAATACAAAATACCTTTATTGCACACTCCTCCAATCAATATAAATTTAGTTTTTTCCTCAAATTTATTCACATTTATTTAAAATGAAAATATTGTAAGCTTTTATTGATTTACATGTTTCCTATTTTAAATGAATACAGAAAAACTTAACAGCTACCAGAAATTCAAAAATATTGTTAACTTTATTCAATGTCGCTTAACCAATATACTATTATTTTTCAAAAAAAGAGAATAGTTAATTGAAATTATTCATCATTACATGCAGAAGCATTAAAAAATATTTATTTTTTTTCTTTATTAATAAATGAACAGAAGAAAAGTTTGCATTAAAAATTCAAGGTCAAATTTGATACCAATCTTTGTTTTCCACATCTCATTACCTATTCAATACTACTATAATTTAGGTCGAAATTTGCATGTTTGAAGAAGAAATAACTATTTTTGTGTGTTAAAAGAAGCTAAAAATACAAACAATATCGACAATGCACAACTGAAAAAAATATTTTTATGAAACTGTCATTTCAGTTTAAAGCTTAAGAAAAAATGGTATGAATGATTTACTTAAATTTGTAAATCATTCATACCATTTTTTCTTAAGCTTTAAACTTTTCTTAAAATTATTGAAATTCATCAAAGTCTATTAATTTATTATTTAGAACCAAAAAATTTTAGATTTTAAGAAAAACAGAACTGATAAGAAAAAAATATGTAAACTATAATATTAATTTTGTTAATTCTTTTTAAAATTTTTGTTAATATTTATTTCAGTTTAAGAGAAAACTTATAACTGAAATTAGTTTATTACTGTATTATGAAAACAAATTAATATTCTAGAAAATGTATAATTATTTAAGCTTTAGTTTATTAATTCTTTACTTACAATGCTGCCAACTGAATTTTGAACTTGATAGAGGAAGGATTAATTTCAGGCTTACTTAGATTATGTTCACATTCCTAAATAATTAAAAAAAATAAATAAAGTTAAGTAATCATTAAAAAAGAGGCAGAGATTATAATAAAACATACCCGACATCGCTGAGATCTCTTAATCAACAGATGCTGATGACGAGGAAACAATTCATTAGAGTAACTGGGTTGGAATTCAGGTTGGAAAAGACGTTGAGAAAGTGTACAAACTGCAATAAAACAAATGCACATTTTATTTAAAATTTTTAAATATCTAATTTAAAAAAAATAATAAATTTGAAATTGATACTGTAAAAGTAATTATGAATGATCTATCAAGATAAGTTTAAAAAAAATAATAATAATGCCCATAAAATAAAGTGCCTGTGGAAAATAAATAAGATTCTCATTTTGCATATAGGCCTTCCTTGTACAGGTATCATACTACATATGTTGCACAAAAGTCTTGAAACTTTAGGCATTTACAACAGCTCATACATCATACTATACAACACAGTAGTGCACTCAAAACTTAATCTTGGGGAACAAAATTATACAGATAAAAAACTTTTTCATGCAAATTCAATAAAATTTCCATCTTATGCGATCAATAATTCATTAGGTAATATAGAAAGATGACAAAACAATATAAATAAATAAAAAAAGATATTAATTAAGAAAAAATTTTTAGTGTTTGTTTGCTTTTTCTTTGAAGGGTACCAGGACCCCTTAGCTAATCCATGAGTGTGCCATAGAAGAGAAGGATGCCATACAAAATACATGTCACAGCCATGAAATTCTTAAACACAGACATNCATTAAATAAGGACTTGCTGTACTTTTCATGCTATTTGGATATTCAATATGATATGATAGTATTACTGTATATTCATTTATGTCTTTACATTAGTAGAATCTAGTTACTATACCATTTTGGGATACTGATAACAATAACCAACTGATAATATTAAATGGAATATGTAAATAAAACTACAATTAATAGAAATTCTAGTTTTACTAACTCTAACATGTTAAAACAATTATAAAATGTATACTCTAATTATAATTATAATAATTATTATTACTAACAGAAAACATGTTGATAATGTAAATCTTGATGGTTGAAGTGTTAAGACATCAGCCTATTGCTTTAGGGCTCTCAAATGTTATCTGGGTTAGATAACTCCAAAAATTTTTTAGGGGTGTGTTTTGAATATATTGAGATCCATCCCTCATCATGCAATCACCTTCATTGTAAATGTGACCAAACACATTATTAGCATGAAAAAAATCTCTCTTACCATCCATAGGATAGAAAGAGTCAAAAATGAAAATAAAATAATATTGATAACATAAAATCTTTTTATTTTTCTCATATCAATATAAACAATAGAAAAATATTGTTACAACAACAGATCTTATCTTAATGTTGATTAATATGTATCATTATATGAAGTATAATACTTACTATAATGATAAAATCTACATATAAATATTAAAGTTATCAGAGCTTTTTATTTTTAAAAATTCACTTAACTAATTCAATAGATGTNTATACTCTAATTATAATTATAATAATTATTATTACTAACTTACATGTTTTTGGATATGCTAATTCTAATAACATTAAATGATTGATAAATTTTGTTGCAATTTGAAAGCAGAGAATTAAATAATTAAATAATTCATATATTTATATATTAATTTATAATTATTTTTGGATGATCATTTTTAAAGTTAAAAGTTATATATGTCTTTAAGTGTTAGTATTTCACTAACACTTAAAGACATATATAACTTTTAACTTTAAAAATCGATTTAATACACCAGGTTACACAATTTTCTGTTTCAATAATATAGAAAAGTATGTAAAAAGTACAAAATTTAATCTGTGTATTCAAAGACTATTATAATATTCCATATGATATATTTTGTATTTTTTTGATATGATTTGAATTCTTCTATAGGTCACACAAGCACAGACTTTACGTAAAGCTTCAATTTTTTTTGGTGAACACAGACCTAACTTAAAATAGTGCTTAAGTTTAGAGTTGGCATTAGAGAGAGATAGGAAATAATATTCACAAATATAAACATCTATAAGCTCAATAGTTATATCAAAGCCAAATGATTGCCAAATTAGATTTGCTATATTACTGCTGCTATGAATAGCATTTAATTATTAATAGTAGCAGTAATATAGCCCAATCTAATCTGGCAATTGTTTGTCTTGAAATAATATTCAGATCTGAATTATTCATAGAAATTATGAAAGTTTAAACTGGATTTATACCCAAATCTCTCACTAACAATACAAAATACCTTTATTGCACACTCCTCCAATCAATATAAATTTAGTTTTTTCCTCAAATTTATTCACATTTATTTAAAATGAAAATATTGTAAGCTTTTATTGATTTACATGTTTCCTATTTTAAATGAATACAGAAAAACTTAACAGCTACCAGAAATTCAAAAATATTGTTAACTTTATTCAATGTCGCTTAACCAATATACTATTATTTTTCAAAAAAAGAGAATAGTTAATTGAAATTATTCATCATTACATGCAGAAGCATTAAAAAATATTTATTTTTTTTCTTTATTAATAAATGAACAGAAGAAAAGTTTGCATTAAAAATTCAAGGTCAAATTTGATACCAATCTTTGTTTTCCACATCTCATTACCTATTCAATACTACTATAATTTAGGTCGAAATTTGCATGTTTGAAGAAGAAATAACTATTTTTGTGTGTTAAAAGAAGCTAAAAATACAAACAATATCGACAATGCACAACTGAAAAAAATATTTTTATGAAACTGTCATTTCAGTTTAAAGCTTAAGAAAAAATGGTATGAATGATTTACTTAAATTTGTAAATCATTCATACCATTTTTTCTTAAGCTTTAAACTTTTCTTAAAATTATTGAAATTCATCAAAGTCTATTAATTTATTATTTAGAACCAAAAAATTTTAGATTTTAAGAAAAACAGAACTGATAAGAAAAAAATATGTAAACTATAATATTAATTTTGTTAATTCTTTTTAAAATTTTTGTTAATATTTATTTCAGTTTAAGAGAAAACTTATAACTGAAATTAGTTTATTACTGTATTATGAAAACAAATTAATATTCTAGAAAATGTATAATTATTTAAGCTTTAGTTTATTAATTCTTTACTTACAATGCTGCCAACTGAATTTTGAACTTGATAGAGGAAGGATTAATTTCAGGCTTACTTAGATTATGTTCACATTCCTAAATAATTAAAAAAAATAAATAAAGTTAAGTAATCATTAAAAAAGAGGCAGAGATTATAATAAAACATACCCGACATCGCTGAGATCTCTTAATCAACAGATGCTGATGACGAGGAAACAATTCATTAGAGTAACTGGGTTGGAATTCAGGTTGGAAAAGACGTTGAGAAAGTGTACAAACTGCAATAAAACAAATGCACATTTTATTTAAAATTTTTAAATATCTAATTTAAAAAAAATAATAAATTTGAAATTGATACTGTAAAAGTAATTATGAATGATCTATCAAGATAAGTTTAAAAAAAATAATAATAATGCCCATAAAATAAAGTGCCTGTGGAAAATAAATAAGATTCTCATTTTGCATATAGGCCTTCCTTGTACAGGTATCATACTACATATGTTGCACAAAAGTCTTGAAACTTTAGGCATTTACAACAGCTCATACATCATACTATACAACACAGTAGTGCACTCAAAACTTAATCTTGGGGAACAAAATTATACAGATAAAAAACTTTTTCATGCAAATTCAATAAAATTTCCATCTTATGCGATCAATAATTCATTAGGTAATATAGAAAGATGACAAAACAATATAAATAAATAAAAAAAGATATTAATTAAGAAAAAATTTTTAGTGTTTGTTTGCTTTTTCTTTGAAGGGTACCAGGACCCCTTAGCTAATCCATGAGTGTGCCATAGAAGAGAAGGATGCCATACAAAATACATGTCACAGCCATGAAATTCTTAAACACAGACATACATGCACAGTACAAACAAATTAATATCTGGTTTGGTTTTGTACAGCCACTCCTCACTTAATGATCAAATTTCATTCCTATAACTGGGTTGTTAAACAAATTGGTTGCTAAACAAGAACTTATCATTTTTATTTATCATAGATGAAGAAAAAGTTTAAAGGAAACTCTAACTTGACAACTTTGTTCTAATTTGCAACTATTACATATTACAGAACATAAAAATACTATCAGCAAAAATTATAAAATTGAAGTACCAAGAAACTAAAAGTTCGTTCATAAAAAAACCACATTCAGATTAATATTTTAGTCATTGAATATTTCAAATAGGGTGCACAATAAAGTACAAATTTATAAACAAAATATGCAGTCTTGAAGATTTCAAATGCATCATGTGATGATACTCACCAACTGTGAAAACTAGACTAAGATTAAAAAAGGGGATTCCCTGCACTGGAGCAGCTAGTTGTAAGTCCAAGTGGTTGTTAATTAAGTGAGGAGTGGCTGTAGTTATGCCTTGACTATGGTCCAGCATAGCACTAGGTATTGATATATATGCCATGAGATATACTTCAACAATGCCACCATGATAATAATAATTATACCTTTTGATAAATTGAGGGGTTCTGTTATAAAACTAGGATCAAGAGGTTCTATTTCATCAGTAGCTTCAGCTGGAACTAATTCTTCTAATGTCTTTGTATCTTCTTCTTTAGCACTATAGAGAAGAATTTTTAAATTTATTTCTTTATTAATGTTCCAGTTCTCAAGATAAATTACTAAATTAATCATTAAAATTCTTAAAAAGAAATATTTCAGATTTTAATTTTTAGAAAAATGTGAGAAAATATCCACTCTTAAAATACAGACAGATAACAGTTATTATTATAGACACAATAACTGAAATTCTTAAATATCTTTTCTTATCTTATTTCAAAAGTACAGAAAATTGTTTTACTCTAATACAATTAAAGTAATGCAAACTTATTTAAGAATCAAAGGTTGAGATCTTTGATTCTTAAATATTAGTACTGTTGTTGAATAATAAACAAAAATTGTTTATCATCAACAATAATCTATTATATATAAATCTCATTCCAAAGTTGCTTTAGATCAATTTTATAAAAATAGAATATAATTTTGTACTTTAATAACTTTAAGAATCAAAGATCTCAACTTTAATAACTTTAAAACTGTATTTTATATTTATAAATAAAATAACAATAAATTTTAAATTATAAAAACTATTTAATATTAGAGCTATAAAATATATATAGTAGAACCTTGATTATCCTAGGTAATGTTGACTAATAGTGTTGCATCAGTCAACATTACCTTGCGTAATTTTTAATCCGAAATGTCTGTAGTCATTTATTTTATCTGGATGGCTATGAACATTTTGAATTAAAAATTATGAATATAAAACATTTACATGGTATAATAATACTTTTTATATCTGAGTGAATTTAATTATATACAACAACATTTTTTTACATCACTTATTGTACAGCTAATGAGTACAGCTAATAAGAATAAAAATGTGTATTATTGTAGTTAAATTTTAATATGAATGATTTGCCTCACATTGTTATTTTTTCAAGCTTTTGTTTATGAATTATAGTATAAAAAAAGTGTCATATTCACTTACGGATTTGCCTCAGATAATGCGGAACCTTGATTAATCAGGGCTCATACAATCGAGGTTCTATTGTATATAACACTGAGGTTTCTGACAATAAAAAACATCATTGTGCTAATAAAGTTCGAAGAGTCATCCATTCATTGCAATTAAACATTTTTGAGACAAAAACATTTAATTGTAACAAATGAGTGACTCCCTTAAGTTTATTAACATTATAGTGTTTCTGTTGTAAAAACCCCAAACTTTCCTTTGATGCTAACATCCTCAAAGGAAAGTTTGAGGTTTTTACATTCAGATCACAATTTAAAATAAACTTGAAGTACTGTGTACTTTTTAGTTAATGTTTAAACTTCTAAATTTTATAAGCCTTATAAACATTCACAAAGAAACTAACTTTTTTAAAAATATTTTAGGAATAGTAAATTAATGCAAGCTGTTTTATTGTCAGATATAGACTTAAAAACTTGCATAAATCTCCCTTTTTCATAATTTGATGTTCATATTTAAATTTTACATTTTTAATAATATACTAAAAAAATAAAAGCTATAATATACAATAATTTCTAATTTTCTAATTAATTTTTTTATTCTGGTAATCTCTAAATTTTAAAGAAAACCTGCATTTAAAACAAATTGTTTTAAAAATTCAGTTTCCAGAATTAGTTTTTTTTATGCCTCTTAAATGTTCTAGTTTTATTTTATCATTTACAATTTTTCCAAAATAATTTTATAAATTGTTCTGGATTGTAATTTTCCAACAAAAGTGACTAGAAAAATCTTTCACATCATTAAATAAATAAAATATATAATTGAAAAATTGTATATAATCCAAATTCATTGTTCTTTTATGAGGTTCAAAATGTTCTGTTATGCTGCATTAAACACTTAGTCATGCAAGACTGTGATGCTTTGCAAAGTTATAACAAAGCTTCCACTTGATGAATTTTTTGCAGATTTAACGACTTCATTATATGAAAGTTTAACTAAAAATTTTATGATTTTTTTTTATATTCTAATTTCTTCATAATTACACTAAATAGTCCTTCAATATATATAAAATACATATTACACTAAATAGTCCTTCCTATAAATAAGAGAATTATATTATTACAGATTAAGTAACTAAAACAGTGTATATATATATATATATATATAACATTTTTCTCACATTTTCTATATAAATCTAAAAAATTAAACAAAATTAAACCATACAATTTTGTAAATGAAATTTTCTTCTATCTAAAACTACTAAAAGTTATAGAAATTACATTAACTTTGCAAATTTTGCACAAAACCAAATCATAAACTGGCTAACAGTATCAAATAATCAAATCTTTACTAACCAGTGTAAATTTTATCATAACAAGTATTTGTTACAATGAACTTTGTGCTGGTTAGTAAAGATTTGATTATCTGAAACTACATAATCCAAGGCTTTTCAAAGTTCATTAACTTTTTATCATATTATCCGAAATTAACTTTTTTATAACTATAAACATAACATTATAATTATTCAATTATTAATGTTAAAATTTATAATAATTTATATAAAAGAAAATTGTAAAATTGACCTTGTGTGCTAACTAATAATATTTGTCAGTGATGACTAATTTTAATAATAAAAATAAAATGAAACACACTTTTATAATAATCCATAGTTTGGGAATATAACAGTGCCATCCTCGACATTTCTGAACTATAATAGATCATGTTACATAATCAAGTAAAATCATAAAACTTTAATGATTTTCTGTATAATACAAGAAACACTAATAAAAAATGTCTTTATAATCTGTCTTTTTTTCCACTCTCATTCTTTACATTGTACAACTGCCAAAGTGATGATCTTAAGTTTTACATACTGAGGCAGAGAAGAGACTAAAAAATAAAGGTCAATTCTGCCATGTGACTTTTTGCATTTCTGAAATCTGAAAGGAGCATCTTTACAATCTGCCCATCCTCACAGGATGGGCAGATGTAAAGATACTCTTTTAATTTTTTTTGAGGATTTCTTCTATTATAAGAATTTTTAAATGTATATCCATTCTTATTTTTTATTGATTTAAACACATGTATTGGGTTCTTCCCAAGAGCCTAGAACAGTAATGGTAAACCTTTTTCCAAAGATGGATCAAAATTGAAAATCTAGTAACTCCAAACTGTGTGTCAAATATTTAATTTGAGCAATTAAAAAGAATATTTTGTTTAATGGGAAATGTTTAATTGATATAATTTTTCTATCCAAAGTTCATAATTAGTGGCCTTTAATGGCTACTTTAGGACTTTGCTGTCACACTATATATAAAAAAAAAAAACTATTTGATAGGTTTTGAAACTTTGCATAATTTATAAAAAATCAAAAACTTACTAAACATTCATTGTGGATACCTTGAAATGGTCATGCAAGTTATGGGTTTGCCATCACCAAACTAGGATATTGTAATTTATCAGAATAGTATATGTGTGGATCCTAGCAGTGTGGACTTTTATAGTTGACTGATATAGATTTTGTCAGTATACAGGTGTTCCAAGTGCCATCCAAAGTTTTTTTGGTATGGCAGACACCTAGTATGCCAATGACCATACCTGCTGATCTGTGCTATAATCTTTCAATTTATTATTATTTTAATCAAATTCCAATGTAAGAGATGTATTAGGCTGACTTTTTGTCACATAATTGATCATTTCAACTTTATAATAATTAAAGAGAAATCTTAAAAAATCGTTTATTACATAAAAATTAAAAATTAAAAATTTTACTTCTATGCATTTGTAGCTAGAATTATTTTAAGACGATCAATACAAAACCTTCCTCACTTATTTCTAGCCGTTTATACACGAGTACCGTGTACTCGTATACATGGGTATTTGTGTATAAATGGCTAGAAATAAGTGAGAAAGGTTTTGTATTGATCATCTATAAATTTTACACTGATAAAACAAAATAAAATTATTAATAATTAGTCTAACACAGATTAAACCATGAATTAATTTACCATAAAAAACTTGATGTACTTAATCCGGCTCTCTTGCGTGATACAACTGCTGATATCCCATATTTATCCTTTAATTAAATAAAATATTTTAATACATAAAAATATGATTTATTATGATTTAAATGATAAAAAAAAGCTGATGATAAATGATATCAAATTTTACATCAATACTGTCATGTTTTATCTAATCTCATAATAAATTTAGAAAAAGAACAGGTTATTTAAGTGAAGGTAATTTGAATATTTAATGTAAGATAACATATTATTAAATGCGGATAAAAAATAAGTAATAACTATAGCTATATTTATTTAATTTCTTGTGATTTATACATACAGTATAACATTTCAAAATTTGTTAATTAACAAATAATGCATTTTAATAAATATATAATCTGTTAAGAAATTATAAGACCACTACATTTTTTTTAGTTTTCTCAAAAATAACAATGTTTAATGGTCAATTATTATTCTCAACAAAGTAAATACAATAAATAATCAAGTTTTGAACAGTTAGTTCAACAATCTTAACATATTTTAGTTACTAGTTTTACAAAAGTCAAATTTTCACTGTTAATAAATTATAAGACCACCAAGAGAAAATAATTTAATCCTTTACCTTAGGAAAAATTTCTATTACCACATGATTATCAGTTTTCTATGATGTAACATGACTAATTTTAATGGTTTTCTTAAGTTTATTTTTAAGTAGTTGTGGTTAAACACCATGCCAGGAGGAAGTAAATTGGAAGGAGGAAAAATCTGGAAACTTTATTGTTATGTTGGTGTTGGTTACTCAGAAGGGGCCTTAGCTGATCTCCTTAATAGGTCCAAAATAGCAATTCATCATGTTTTAGAAAAATAAAGGGAAAATTATGTACAGAACAAGAGATCTGGTAAAAAAAAAAAAAAATCATTGTCCTCACATGATTTCAGGCATGTTTTTGATATGGCAACTCAACAGAATATGTCTACAATAGAAATTTCGTGTGAAATTGGACCAAAGTTTTCACTTGTAATTGCTTGAAAAATATTAAGGAAAAACCAGAATGCAAGTTACATAAAACTAAAGGGTAAACCCAAATTGACAGGCACATAAACAAGTAAGATTAGAATGGGCCAAGAAGTATATATCCTGCACCAAAGAGTGGAACAATGTAGTGTTTTCAGATGAAAAGAAGTTTAATCTTGACAGCCCAGATGGGTATATTGCATATTGGCATGATTTGTGCAAGGCACCTAAGGTATTTTTTAGTAGTCAAATGGTGGAGGCTCTGTCATGGTTTGGGGATCATTCTGTTATGATGCTAAATTTAGCATTAAATGAAAATCTGAAAATTATCAGGTATTATAGGAAAAACATTTGCTTCCATTTAATCATATTTTAGAGGAAGAAAATAGTGCTACCAACAAGACAAAGCCATCTAACATAACTCAAAGGCAACTCAAGACTAGTTTAAGGCAAAGAAAATTAATGTTTTACCTTTGCCATCAAGAAGTCCTGACTTAAATCCTTTTGAAAACTTTTGGGGGATTTTAAGTCAGAAGAGATATGTAAACAATCGTAATTTCACATTCAAGAACTTGAATGTGAAATTATGCGCTAATGATATATTATTGACAACCACCTACTGAAAAAATTGGTAGAATCAATGCCAAACAGGCTATTTTAAGTGTTATGAAGAAATGGGGCAACAATCAACTATTAATCAACAAAAAAGTTACTTCTCAATATTTTGTTTTTGTGGTGGTCTTATTATTTATTAACAATGAAAATTTGAATTTTGTAACACTAATAACTAAAATGCGTTAAGATTGTTGAACTAATTGTTCAAAACTTGATTATTTATTGTACTTACCTTGTTGAGAATAATAATTGACCATTGAACATTGTTAGTTTTGAGAAAACTAAAAAAAATGTGGTGGTCACTTATAATTTCTTAACAGATTGTATTTATATAACATGGTGATTTTATTTCTAATAATGTTGTCAGTGGTGGGTCTGTGGTTTTGTGGGTGTGCATAGGAAGCAGTTATGTTCCAGAGAAGCATCTGCAGGTCTAGTTTTGCACAATATTTTGCAAAAATTTGTCTCAAGATTTGAGACTCAACATTGTCAAGTCTCTTTGTCTTTTTGGTAGTTGCAGTCTAATACTGTCTGTGTTCATGCACTTTCATTACAATTATTAAAAAACACGTATGATTTTATTTGTTTTATTAGACTGTGTACAAGGTCTGTCCAGAAAGTTTGCAAACTTTTCAAATAGAAGTTGTTTGCATTTACCTAGAAGCTAGTCTGTTTTATTGCCTTTGAAGTAATCCCCTCCTGAGTCTATGTACCAAATTCAGCATTTACGCCAAGAAAAGAATGCTTCCTGAAATGCTTCTTCAGGAAGCATTCTTTTCATAGCAAAAGTGTTTCTCTGTGATAAGTCTATAAGTATTTAATTTTCCACATCTAACAACTCGGGTTTTTTCATTTCTGGATGATATTTTCTTAATTCTGATAAGTGCCCTTCAGTAGCCAAGTGGATAAAACCATCGAACACTGGTAGTTAATTAGTTAGTTGTGGATTCGGACATCGCCAATGGGCTGGAGTTTTCCAGGTTATCTTCATGTTAGTAACACCAAAATAGGATCCAATTTCCCATAATAGTCTTCCTGGAACATATCCCCCTAAGCAGATTGTTCATGTGTCATGTTGCCTTAAACAAATAAACCAAACTAATTCTAATGATTGATTATTTATTGTGACGTCACAATGTTCTCAATTCTTTTACTGGTGTATTGCCCCCTGTACATCATACTTTTCCTGTTAGCAATAGTGTTGTGCCAGTTATCTATCTAACTTCATTTGGGGGGAAAATTTTGAATTGAAGTAACATGAATTCTGGACCAAACCAGAAGCTCATATATAGTTCATCTGGGCCTCCTGCCCCTAAGCATTCCATATCTATCCTTGATTTTCATTTATCTAACTCTGATCTTGAGATTAAGGAATGATAGACAGTCAGGGGGAGAACAGTAGAAATTTATAGGTCTACAGTTTTTTCATATTGCAGCCCAATAATTTTTCTATAAATGCAATATTTACAAAAACATAATTCCCATGTAATTTATACAATCTATTGCAAAAATATAAACACTTTATTATCACATAAAAGCAATTATTTGCGTATTTTTACAAGATTTTTTTTATTTAAACAAGTCATATGAAGTCTTTTGGATGTTAAGGTTAGCAACTTTGATCACGTGTGGGGCTGTCACAACCTATCCAACACAGATCACTTTTTGAATATTAACAGCAAACCAGCATTAATTAGTAGTCAGCAGTCGTTGACCATCCTCTCTTCTGGGAGGAGATCAATGACTACTTTTGGTCAAATTACTTCAACCCTCTTCCACAACAAGTCCCTTCTTTCTATTGGACTAGCAGTGTGGTAGCATTCAAATAGGAAAATTACATAATACAAGATCAGCAGCATGCACAAAATATGTTTTAAGTGGTTTTTGAGGGTGCCAAGTTTTTGGGCAATATTTGGTCTGTTTTTTGGGAAATTTGATTCATTGGCAGATTTCCATTTAATTTCAGTTGTGAATGGTACAATTTCTTAGAGTTAACATTAGGAAAAGATATGATATCTTAATAAATTTTAAATATATTTTCAATTGGTGTCTACTTGACCAAAGAAATTGTGCCATTTTGCATCATCTGAATATCGTGATAAATTGTGACAATGGTAGGTTGAAATAACCAAACTACAGATATACCTCGCCTTACGTCTGTAATTGGTTCCAGAAGAGGCGACGTAAGTCGAATTTACTTGTCACTAGGCTAAACGATAAATTACCATTCCCGGTTCTGTATTTTATTTATTAATGCATTTTTAATAATATATGGTAAATAAGGATCTATTTTAAGCTTACAAACAAATAAATTTTAGTTTTTAATATAGTACAGAAAAAAGTAATCTAAATTTACGAATGCATGTACTGTAAATACAGTACATACTTGTAAATGTATATATTTTAATATGATTTTATGTGCTTTAAACG